GAGTGTGTGTGTCCCTGTCTGTCAATCATGAAGAAGAACGGGAGGCGGAACCTGGAAGCTGGGATCTCTGATGGACGTGGGGATGATAAGATGTCCCACGGGCAAGTTGTGGCCACACACCTGCATACACACACACACAGGGACACACACTCACACACACGCACTGGCAGCTGTTTGTTTGACTTTTTTTTTGCTATATTCGCCGCTTTTGCTCTGCAGTCTCCCACTCTTCCCACTCTTCTCAATCAAGAGAAACGAAGAGAAATGTATGAGAGACAGAAGAGACAGAAGAGACGGAAGGGACGGAAGGGACATTGGCAAACAAAGCCTTTTTGAGGGAACTGGAAAGAAACCAGACAAAAGTTGACCCTACACGGGCATTGGGTATTTCTTAATGCATTGTCCCGAATGTATGACAGCCACTCACTTCAAAATTACACAGCGCTGACAGCGCTCCTCTAAATTACCTCAGATTCCCATCCCCGCCCCCCGCTTAGAAGAGTCTTGCCATCCTGTGAAGTCAACCGATGCAGTTTAGTCTATATAATGGGTCGAGTGATACATACAGAAGTCCCGTGTTTTCTCTATATGTCCGTATCTGCTCTCGTCCACAGCACTCAAAAAATACAGCACAAAGTATGGCCCTCCACGGAAGATACATACGCCGCCGCCGATCGCCAGTCCGAGTACATACATTCTCATAAATCCGGGCTCTGCCATGCTTCTCAGGAGAGGCAAGTTGGCGGACCGGACCAGCCAAACGAATAGTACGCCCTCGAAGACCAGCTCGATAAGCGCCATGATCAGTAGACCGGCCACTCGTTCAAGCAGCTGCGGAAGTGATGGAGACACCACCTGGTCGAGAGTGATGAAAGATGCGTTGGTGAGAATGAGCACCGTTAGTTCCGCCAAGCCGTAAGCGTGCATCTGCTGCATTCATCGTCCATCGACGGAAACCAGCCAGAACAGGGGGGAGACGTGGGATTTGAAGGTATGAAGAAAATTCACTTGCTCCTCCCTTACGTCGCTGAGCCTCCTGAGAAATATTGGGTGAAGCTTGAACTGGACAACTCGTGTGGGGACATCGAGAAACGAGCTCAGGGAGCTCAGCGATTGGTGGCTGAAAAGAGTGCTGACGCTTGTGCGACTTCTCGTGTAGAAGCTCATTACAGTAGTGGACAGACGGCTGAGCAGTTTGGCCGGCGGATGCTTGATGACATTCGGTCTTTCTGTGTTGTCGGTGTCTTCGCCAGTAACGGTATCGGGCGTCTCGTTTGAGTGCTGATGCTGAATTCTCCTGCGTGCTTTGTCTGAGGAGAGGTATTGTACATGGCATTGCATCAAAGCTCTCTTAGCCATGCCGCCAACAACCATCACTGCACACGTAGACAGAGAAAGACAAAAGGCGTGAATACGGCAATATGGTCGCATATAAGTCTCATGTGTGCACACTATATACTAACAATATGGGATCGCCAAGTCGGTCAACAAGTCGAACGAGGCCAGCATAAGCGAAGTCAAAATCTGAAAAGAGACATGGATGCCGAAAAGCAGAGGAATCTCACTTAATCACAGGCAGTCTTCAGCTTGCTTCTTCTGACCCGAGCAGACAAATGTTGCATCTCAGCCTGCATCATTCTTGGGTAGACGGCGAAAGCTACCGCCGGATAAGAAATTGCTGGACCCGTCTGCGGTGCAGGACCGTCGCGTACTGAACGGACTAGCGCTGTCACTGACAGATGGACAAATTGAAAGCATACGACAACACGACGAGGGGGAGCTGAGGAAGGGCTCTTACGGAGAGCAAGAAGAGGGGACATTGTGAGCAGCCAAGTGATGACGGCAATGCTTTCTTCTTGGCGACCTCCCGCGACTTCTTTGATAAGAGGTAAGAAGAAGGATCGTGCTGAAATCGAAAGGGTCATCAATATGAGAACCACCAGCCCCATTTGTAAGACATAAAGCCGCTTTCTTATGACTGTCCTCGATGTCTGAGCCACTTGGCGGAAGACCCTACATGGAGCACACAGGAGAATATCTAGCTGCCACTTTGTGATTGTCCTTTATCTGTTCCCTTCCTTACATCACTGGCACTACAATCGCCACTACAAAGTTGAAACAGACCGCAATAATGCGGTAAGGCCGCAAGTCCTCCGCATGAAACAACACCACCGCGCCGACTTGTACGATTGCAGTGGGAGTCAAGAAGGGCCACGTTGTCCTCAAGCGATGGAGGGCCCCACGAAAGCTGCCTTCGGCCATAAGCAGCAGGATGGCGGCAAAGCATAGGAAAACGACAGTCTGACGAGCAGCATCAAGCAAAATCCACCGTCCTTTTCCACATGCCCAGAAGTACCCGACCCAAACCTGAGACCAGATGAAGGCGATGGTTGCCGCAGCGGCCATTTGGAAGACGAGCACCTTTGCCGTCCGCCTCACTGTCTTCCAAAAGGGCTCCGGGGTGAACACAGCACCAACAAAAGAACCACCCTCATAGCGCAAGCGAGTCTCGAACTCCTGAAAGGAGGCTGCAGGTCCCGCGCATAGTCGAAACTCAGCCACCATGGCCGCCAACTCGCGCTCCTCCCTCCGCAATGGTTGTCCATCTTCTTCTCCGGCCTCATTGTCCCCAGCCCCCTTCTCTGAACAGGTCTCAACAGCAGCAGTTGCGCCCGTGCTCTCGTCACTGAGCTTCGTGACATGATGCTCCTGCGGGGCGGTGTCTTCTGTATCAACGATGACTGCCCCAATGGTGGATTCTTTGCCTTCCTCCATCATTGGTGACCTTCTGAATCAGTTGATTTCTTTTCGCGGGGGGGAAAGGGGGCCAGATCTGCCTCCAGAGTCCGTCTCCAACGGCATTTCAAGCAGACGGTTGCTAAGGGCTGGATGAAACTTCATGAAAGGGATATCGGTACGTCAGGCTGCGATGACCAACGAGTGCAAACAGCTACTCAACCGTCACCCGCGGGCCATACAGGCCAGACACCAGCCCCGCTCCGGGGCTGTGAGGTGGCTGGCTGGATCTGGGTTGAATGTGTATGTCCATGTTGCATGTCTCACACTTGTTTGTAGTGTGCGACATGTTTTCGCAGTCAGCGAACGTTGTCCTTTGTTTCTGCATGTATTGTTTCCCTTCGCTTGCTTGATACGGACTGATGCTTAGACGAACTTCGTCGCCCGTTTCATGTATCTGCTTCTTCGTTAAGTCTGGGCAACGTATATCGGACTATAATGCTCAGCATGAAACCTCCGATAGATCTGCACAGGCCAGCAGTACAACAACAGAGTCACTGTCCTACGAGGCACTCAATATACGCCGCCACACTCACGTCCTCCTCGCTGCACACACATGCATCCCCTCCCGGCCGCTGCGGCGCTATGCCACGCTTGTTGATGTCATTCCCGTCAGGCGTCTTGTACTTTCCCACTGTAACTCTCAGCGCACTCCCGTCCTCCAACTTGACCAGACTTTGGATCAAAGCCTTGCCGTACGTCTTCTCGCCAATCGCAGACGCCCTCCCGTTCTCCAGCAAAGCCGCAGCCAGCACCTCCGCAGCCGAAGCCGTGTTCTTGTCTACAAGCAGGGCGACCGATGACGGCTCCCTCGCGTATCTGCCGTCATCTGTAGTGCGGTACACTTCAATGATGCGCCCATCTCGTCCCTCCACAGACGTAATGAGAGCGTCCCCGGGCAGCAGCAGCCGCGCCACAGCAGCACCCGACTCAAAGTTGCCACCAAGATTGCGCCGCAAGTCCAATACAAGCACGTCAGGAAGCGGCCGGTAGCCATCGAGAAGCGCCGCCAACTCTTCCGCGGCGTCCTTGCTGAGCCGATTGATGCGAATAATGGCTGTCGGCCGTCCATCGACAAGGGGAAACCGTCTGTCTGAAGGAGAGATGGCGCGCACAGACGCGTTGGTCGACTGGCCGCTTAGTCGTTGAAGCACCACCTGTCTGGCCGCCCCGTCTCGACCGCTGATGACTCCCACAGTGACGGACGTCCCAACGTCGCCCGCCAGAGCCATCTGGAGGGCCTCTGCATCGAGGCCTGACGTAGCCGCGCCATCCACCGAGACAATCCTGTCGCCTTTCTCTAGATCTTGAAGTGCTGCAGGCGACGCTGCTCGCACACTCTCGATCACAGGGAAGCCGCGCTGCAAGTCAACAGTCACCCGGATGCCGGTGTCACCATTGCCCACTTTGTACGCCGATAGAAGACGGGAATACTGCAGTCACAGACAGCGATACACTCGCCTCTGGGGTGGTGACAAAACCAACCTCTCGTCGGCCACTCACCTGCTTCGGTGAGAGGAACTGAGTGAATGGATCGTTGAGGCTGCTGATCATCTCCCGAATCGCCTCGTGTGTCTGCTCACGGCTTGTCAGCGGCCGCTTGAGCACCTCTTCACGCACCTCTTTCCACTTGCGGGAAGAGAACGAGCCGGATGGGTCCACAAACGCCCGGTTGATGACACCCCATGCCTCATTGATAAGCCGTTTCTCCTCAGCTGACGATACGCCGTCGTCGTCCAGCCGCAGCGAGAGCAGTAAACTGTCCCTAGGCAGGAACACCGGCTGATGTCGTGACGACAGTAAGCTCACCGTATGTTCGCGGGCTGCAGCTGCATTTTCAGGGCCGATGACGCTGGCATTAGACGCGAGAGGGATGAGTCCCATAATGCTGAGAAGCGCTGCAGCGATGAATCCACACAAGCCACTCGTTTCGCTCCAAAGATTGTTGGACTCATCGCTTCGTCCATGCTCCACCCGTGCTGTCAACGTCGTGCAGTGACGCCAGCGCCTGGCGAGAGGAACAGGAAGATTGCTGGCGTTCATCCTGACACGATGTGAGCCGCCGATGTTGCATAAGAGGAAAGCGCTGTTGGCTGACGAGATGGGGACCGTTGCGAGCATCGCGATGCGATGCCGTGGGCACGAGAGCAGATGATGTTGATTGGAGGAAAGTTGGCCGGATTGCGAGCTCATCTTTGAATTGGATCAGACAGAACGTTGATCAGTGCATACATGCAAATTCAGCAGTGGTAAGAGCTCCAACAGTCTGTAAGTGATGGATATGCACACAACTTACACACAAAAACGCCGTAAGTGATCTGCCAGCATGTCCGTCCGCTAAGAATGAGTGACCGGATGGTGTGGGTGTTGGGTGAGTAGGTCAGCCAGACAATTCAAGCAACGCCACAAATAAGAGAAAAGGACCAAACACCTATGCACTCATACACACACTCATACACCAGTGGACCGATATCTGCCTGTCTGCCCATGTCTCCACGACTCACTGTCTCTGTCTACAGTTCACGTCTGTCCCATCCCTCCATCTGAACCGTCCCGCCCTCCCTCCCTCCCCCCCCGTCCCTACCTACCTATATCAGATCTCGCCTGTCCTGCCCCACGCGCATCTCATACTCGCTGCCTTCGTTGCTGCCGTCGTGCTCGTCAATGCCGCAGCACGTGTTGACCGCAGACAATATCGCCTTGTTCGTCTGCCGCACTCGCGGAGGCGTCTGGTCGCCTGGTATTGGGGCAGGCTGAGCGGGGGGCAGCCGGGCGACTGACGCGGCCTGCTGCTGTGTCTGTGTCGGTGTCTGTGTGAGGGGGTAAGGAATGGTGGCGGAGGGTTGTGGCTGTGAGGGCTCCGGGGATGGCTCGGGGATCGTGTCTGTGGAGTTGCTAGACTCGCCGAGAGAGGGGACCGAACCGTTGATGCTGCTCTGGTCAGTCGGCAGGCCGGTGGGCTCCGACCGCACCGATGGCACGTCGGTCGTGTCGTCATCGTCTCTGCATCAATGGAGAGACACACACAATATGGGGGCCTGCGACCTATGTCGCTGTGGTTCGTCGTGTCAGTCTGTCTGTCGGTGCCGGTGCGCACTTGTCGTCGTCTTCGTCGACCCATCCTGCCAGACGGTCCTCAGGAATCGGCCACAGGGGGGACCGCCCGCGGATACTGCACACATGACACGGGTGCATAGGTGTGCAGTGCGTGTGTATCTGTGTGCCATGGCGGACCCTTTGAGTTTGAGCACTCCCCTCTGTCTGTGTGGCACATAGGACTTGGACGGCGGATAGCCGCCGGCCAGACCACGCTTGCCTGCATCCATGCGCCCAGTGAGACGGAATCATTGTTGTGTCGTCTGTGTTGTTGTGTGAGTGAGTGTGGCCGCACCTCTCTGTCTGGCCACCCTCCTCGCAGAGTTGGCAAATGCAGGCGCATGGGCGCCGTGGATACCAAGACCTGCATGCGCCACACACACAGACCCAGACGACGTCCCATTCGTTGTCATCCATCCACAGACGCGGCCGTACCTCTGCTGCCATACTGCACAGTAGGGGGCACATTGAAGGTCTGTGCGCTGCCGTTGGCCCGCTGCAATGTGTCGCCCGTCTCGAGGCCGTTTGCTGGCGATGGGGGCGGGTTGGACTGGTGCTGCTCCCTCTTCCGACACAGACACGGACACACGTGGTCCAGACCTGCACACGTCCACAGGTGAATGGCCATGTGAGTGTTGTCAGTTCGTTGGCGGTGTCTGTGTGTGTACCTTCTCCCATTTTGATAAACCAGCAGGACGAGAGGCATCGTTTCCTGACCTCCCGCATGCGGATGGGCCGACCGCTGCCGCTCTTCATCGAGTGCAGCAGCCAGATTAGAGACACCACCACCTGCACCGCACCGCAACCCACACACGCATCAATGTGTCACACACTCGTACACACAGGGTCCGTGTGTGCATGACATGGCATGACGGTACGGACCAGGCAGGGAATGAGGACGCCCAGGGTGATGAAGAGAGCCCGTTTCAGCTTCGATCGATCATCACCTTGGTCGCCAGACACCGCACCTGAACGCGTCGACACACGAGCACCATGTATGTGTACGCGCGTGTCAACGCAACAGTGCCACCTACCTTCTTGCTGCTTGTCTTTTCTTGGCTCCAGGAATCCTCCTTCTCCCGGGGGAACAGGAGGGAGCAGTGTGTCCAGATCAGTCGTGTTGGTGCCTGCCATGGTCGACATGCACACATTTCACACACATGTTGTTGCGCGTGAACGGGTCCGTTACCTAGTACGCTGGCCTCGTCTTCGCCAGAGTCGTCGCGTGGGCTGGTGGTGGCGTTAATTGGGTTCCATTTGCCTGACACACGTGCACACATGTGTGGACACGTGTGGAAATGCGGGAACATGCCCCCTTTCTCTGCTCACCAAATACGAATTGTGGGCCTTCGCCCGGCTTTGGGCAGGGAATAGGGCCTGCCACACGCACAGTAAAGATGCATACGTATTCACATGCTCGCGCTCGCGTGTGTGTGTGTGTGTGTGTGTGTGTGTGTACATGTGTGCGAAGCCATACCCGTAGTGACGTTATGTGGCATTGGGGACCTGACGGTGTACTCCATCTTGAGCCAACACAAACCGCCGCGGACATCAGACCTGACGACACCCACCCACACACGCACACACAACAAACAGTCACGTATGGGATGTGCTGTGCAGCTGGCCGTGGATGTGTGGGCATGTCTGCCCACCACAGGAATTGTGAGCATCCCTGCGTCAGTCGACAGAGGTCGAAACACAAGGGCGCACTCTTGTGCGCGTTCGGGGGGTCTGTGAACGGACACAAGAATCGAGCCGACATATGTGTACACACAGTTGTTGCGTCCGTACCAGCGATCCACCATCCAGGCGGCCCGATCACAGGCCCGATATAGTCATGGTACTGCTCGAAACACACTGCATGACACAGAGACATGGGGACATGTATACACCCGTGAGTCTCATGTGTCGCCTTACGTGCCACACACTGCTTCTCGTGACAGAAGCTGAAGACGGTGGTGTTGTCGCCATCGTCGCATAGGGCGCCCTCTGTCTCCTCCTGTATACAGAGCCACATGTATACATGTACATGTGCATATGTACACCCGTGTGTAGACGCTTGCGTACATATTAGTGTATTAGTGTACATGTAAATGTATACGTACGGTGCATTCGGTAGCCATCCCTCCGTACGTGTCGGTGACAATCAACGGAGAGTGGTTAATGAGGCCGCTGCTGCTGCTGGTGCCCGGCAATTCACTCGTGCACTCGCGAGGGCCCGACACATACCTACGTGTGACGTGAGTACGCGATAGGTGATCGATCACGGCAAGGGCCTACCTGAGGTCTCTCTGTTGTCCTTCAGGCAGGTCAGCGGCCCATGTGACTCGCCTGCCCTTGTCGCTCTTCTTGAGCCGGCAGTCACCAGGCACAAATACGTACGACGAAGCTGACGGGTTGCCGGCCTGCACACAGCATGTGTCCACCATGCCATGGGTGAATCCGTACAGACATCCGTCCACCCCACATGAGTGTACCCCTGCTGCCGGGTCTTGCTGGCCCTCCACATACGTAAAGTACTGGCAGTCACCTCCATTCTCGCGGTTGATCTGAACAGGGGAAAGCATACACGACAATGTCTTTAAAGACACTGTCAGCCACAAACACCCACACACACGCCGTGTGTGCGTCTGAACCTACACGCACCTGACACATGGCCTGGCACTGGGCAGCGCTGCTCGCATTCGAAAGGCGACCACCTTCCTGCAAGCAGCCATGGTCAGTCACACATGCACACAGTGACACAGCCGCCATCACACGCACAGGGCGCTCATACTATCATTTCAGCCCACCTGAAGCACATCAAAGCCGGCATAGTCCACCCCCTCCTCGTAACAGCCCCCTTGAGCCAGACACAAGCATGGCAACAGCAACACAGATACCACGGTCGCTCTCAGCAATACCGCCCCCGTCCGTTGCCGCTCCATCTGTGTCCGGGGGAAATCGCAGTCATGAACCACTCTATATACTCCCAGTTCTACCTTTACAGTGCGTACACTGTCAGGCCGTTAAGCTCGCCATTGTCTACCATCAGTGGGTGTTTGTGGCTGTCTTTTCTTTTGTGTGACCATTGTCAACACACGTGCAGTCCTCACAGGGGGTGGTTTGCAATGAGTTATTGGTTTATGTTGCCTTCTCTTGAGATGCGTTTCACGATTTCCCAACCAAAGGCGACGCCGAGAACCGCGAAGCTTTGACAGCGCCGCCACCCTGACCGAGCAGCAGCGATGGTGTGGATCGGAGGGTTTCTCGGACGACCGGGGGCAAGCAAGAGCGCGCCCCTCAGAGTGGGAGCTGTCGCTCTCGCAGCCTGTAAGCAAACACCAGCCGAACACGCCCAGAGGGGAGGGAGGGAGGAAGGGTGTGTTCGCGTCGGGCAGAGGTGCTTTGCGTTTCATGTGGGCGCTGGGCAAAGACGGTATGTTGTGTGTGGTGTGTGGTTTGGTTGTTCTTTGTTTCAGCGGGTGCGGTGATCGGAGCTAGCTACTACTACTTTCCCGACCGCGGCACACATCGCGCAGCACGTAAGAGCAAACGGAGCCTGCAGGCACGCCGCGCGCGCACAGGCACCATCCCGCTCACAATGACTGTTTGTGTGCCTGGCCCTTTCCTGTATGTACGTGTCGTCAGTTGTGGCTGCCGGTTGTGCAGCTCCTCCCGCGCACAACTCGGTAGGCGCAAATGAACCGATTGGTGTAGACAGCCACACAAACGCACACGTGCAAGTAATCATTTGTGTGCGGGCGGCGTTTATGTGATTCAGTTTTTCGGCAGCGGGGGCAAGGGCGGCGCTGAGGGCGCCTCGCACGTCAAGCGACACAAAATCGCCCTCGTCGGTGAGAGGAGATGAAAGATGATGAATGGATGCCCGTGTGAGCTCAACTGCCAGCGGGGACGATAGCGCTTGTGTTGTGTGTATGTGTGTAGGTGCTGGTCAGATCGGCGCGACGCTGGCTCTGTTGAGCGGCATGAAGGAGTTGGGGGACGTCGTCATGTACGACATTGTCGAAGGTACGTGATCGATTCCCCACACATGCATGTGGAAGGGGGTCGTGTGTGGGTGCAGGCATGCCGCAGGGCAAGGGTCTGGATCTGTGTCAGCTGTCACCTGTCGAGGGCTTCGACGCCACCTTCAAGGGGTATGTGTGTGTGTTCTGTGTGTGTGTGTCTGTGTCTGTGCGTACGTCTGGGTGCATTTGCTTTGGTACGTTGTGTTGTGCAGCACCCAGAGCTACGCGGACATGAAGGACGCGGATGTGGTCATCGTCACGGCCGGCGTTCGCAAACCCACACGCACGCCTTAGAGAGAGCTATGAGTAGTGCGTGTGTGTGGATGGGTGCACTGCAGGTCCCCCGCAAGCCGGGTATGTCCCGCGACGACCTGCTGGCCATCAACGCCAAGATCGTCAGACAGGTTCGTGCCTCAGGCAGATGTACACCAAAGCATCCACACCACATGACACGCATTGAATGGACGGACAAATATGCGCAGATAGATAGACGCATGTGTGTGAGTATCTGTGTCTGTCTGTCATCTGTGTCAGGTTGCGGACGGCATCAAGACCTACTGCCCCGACGCGTTTGTCGTGTGCATCACCAACCCACTCGGTCAGGCAGGCAAAACAGTCAGGGGGGCACACGCGCACAAATGCCAACACCAACACCGATGGACAGAACGCTTGTGTCGATGTGTTGATACAGACGCGATGGTCCAGCTGCTGCAGGAAGTCAGCGGTCTCCCCCCAAACAAGGTGAGTGCGTCGACGCAGAACAGACAGACACCTTCATGGGCCCGCACCGTACGTGTGTTGTGTGTCTGCAGGTGGTCGGCATGGCGGGCGTCCTCGACGCAAGCAGATTCAGATACTTCCTGGTACAGACACAAGGAACACACTACACATCGATTCAGTTGTCTGTCGTGTGGTGTGCCTGTGTGCAACGAACAGGCGGAGAAGCTGAATGTGTCTGTTGAGGACGTGCACTGCCTGGTCATGGGCGGACACGGCGACACCATGGTCCCACTCGTCAGATACAGCAACGGTCGGTCAGTCGGTCGGTGTGTGTGGATGAGAGAAACTGAGCCCTGCTGTGCACTCTCTCCTCGTGTCTCTGTGCGTTGTGTCAGTTGGCGGCATCACCCTCCCCGATTTGGTCAAGATGAAGTGGCTGACACAAGTAGGCTCATACCTTTCTCTCTCAACTCAACACGCACACACGCACATGAGCATGTGGACGTCCAGGACGAGTTGAACAAGATGGTCGACCGAACGCGCTTCGGCGGTGGCGAAATCGTCGGGTACGTATGCGCATTTTCCAATTTGACGCTTCATATGATGTGTGTGTGTCATGCGAACGTTCAGTCTGCTCAAGACTGGCAGTGCTTTCTACGCGCCGGCCGCATCAGCCATCTCCATGGTACTCACTCGCGCGAGCACGTATCGGTATGTGTGCGAACTTGACTGTGCTTGTGTGTGTGTGTGTGTGTGTGTGTGTGTATGAGCGCAGGCTGAGGCGTACCTGAAGGACAAGAAGCGCCTGCTGCCGTGCGCGGCCTACCTGGTGAGTCGGGGAAGCATGCATTGAGGGTGGATGGATGGATGGACGAGAATTCGCATATGTGTCTGCAGACGGGCGAGTACGGCGTGAACGGCTTCTACTGCGGCGTGCCGGTCATCATTGGCAAGGGAGGTGCGTCGCCACCCAACTGGCGCATCACACACATAACATACCTCCCACATATGGGTGGGTGTATGTGTGTGTCTCTCTATATAGGTGTGGAGAAGGTCGTCGAGCTGCAGCTCACCTCCGAGGAGTCCGCCATGTTCAAGAAATCGGTACAATGCACGCACACACACGCACAACACTCACTCTCACACACACGCACAAACAATGTCGTTGCCATGTGTCTTGCGTCATGCACACACGCACAGGTTGACGCCGTCAAGGAGCTCGTGGCGGCCACGCCCAAATAGACACACACCAGCCCACTCCAACTAGATGGCCTGGAGGGAGGGAGGGTGAATGAGTGAGTGAGAGATCCATATTGTTCGTATCTTCCTAGCTATCGTATGTGTGTGTGTGAGCGTTACGAGAGTTGTCAGCGAACCAGCGGAGTCGATGCAGCATGTGTACGCACCTCACGAGCGGACGTATACATAAGACGCAGAGTACAGCGACCGAACACTCACTCATTCACTTGCATGCGACAGACAGTGTTTAGTCAGTAGACAGACAGACAGACCGATGGATGGATGCAGTTGCTGGGGAGGGACGTTTAAGCACGAATCGAAGCGAGAGACAGCGCGAGCGAGCGAACGAGAAAGGGACACCCACGTGTCTCACGAGTGGGTGGGTTTGGTATGTATGCTGTTTGAGTGTATGTGTGTATGACAACCGAACTTTTCTCCCTGCTGGTCTGCGCGGTGTGTTGCTCTGTCGGTCCTGGATGTCCGTGTGCTCACAGATATGTACCGTGAGCACACGGCACTCCAGAATCGGAAGCAAAACACACCACAGCAGACAGCAAGGGGCAGCCGACCAGTGAGAAGACTGAGTTTAGAGAGACGCCAATGCGGTCTTTTTCCATAATCGGGTTTGACTGACACCACACGTAGACCGACCGACCGACTGACTGACCGACACACATGCATGTGTCTCAGTGTCTGCCTGTTCGTCCCTGCCTACCTGCCTGTGTGTCTCTCTATGTCCCTGTCTGTCCTTCTATCTCTCTGGGGGTTTTGCTGTGGTCATGATACGGACGGACGGACAGCGATGGAGAATATGAGCCAATTAACCCAATCATGATGGACAGATGACGAGCATGCAGATCTGCGTTTAAAGTCAGACAGAAATCACACACACAAGACACTCACTGGTTTCTTGTTTTTCATCCCCCCGACGTTTCAAGCAGATACATGAAAAACACACAAAGTTCATCTAAGCATCAGTCCGTATCAAGCAAGCGAAGGGAAACAATACATGCAGAAACAAAGGACAACGTGCGCTGACTGCGAAAACATGTCGCACACTACAAACAAGTGTGAGACATGCAACATGGACATACACATTCAACCCAGATCCAGCCAGCCACCTCACAGCCCCGGAGCGGGGCTGGTGTCTGGCCTGTATGGCCAGCGGCTGACGAAGTCCTCGGAGGTGGTTGGTGTCACTCGTGTCTGTAACCCCGAAGGGATCCTGTCATGTCACCGCACTCTGCAGGCTAGTACGAAAACTGGGGGCTGCGAGCTTCGTTGCAGTGGCGAGAACGTTTTAAATTTGTTTCCTTTTTTCCACCACCATGTCTTTTCTTTGGTCCGTCGGCGTCCTCCTGGCGGTGTGTTCTCCCGCATTCGGTTTGCACCATCGAGATTCCGTCCACAAGTCAGCCCCGCTCGCCGCCAACAACAGTTCCAATGAAGATGGATTCTACGTCGTGAGGCCCGAGCAGCTGATTCAGCACCATGCATGCAGATGCATCGCATTCTTCGTGTATTACATTTTTTGCAGATTCGGGTTGTGTCTGACCATCATCTGGGCAGCCCCCGGTGCAGCAGAGAGCCTGGCTTAATCTGCACTGGCAGCAATGCCTGAGTGTTGTGTCCCTCGGTTGTTCCCCTCAGGACGATGAAGGCCGAGACTTTGAGGGCCATCCAGAAGTTCTTTGAGTTCCACAAGGACCCGCAATACATCGAGGATGAGAAGATCAAACACATCGTGTTCCTTGGCGATGTCTTCGAGGCCTGGTTGACGCCGCTGCACGAGAAGTGCCCCACCATCAAGGGACTTCTCACGAGTGGGAGTGAACGATTTCGCATCTCCTTCCCCGGTAGACACATCATCAAGCCATGCGCACGCTTGTTTGCAGTGGCTCTGTGTGTGTGTGTGTGTGTGTGTGAAGACATCATTGACTCCATTAAGGCCATAGCTGACGAGTGCGGCGCCACAGTGTGGATCATGCGAGGTGCGGACACGCAGAATACACCGCAAGAAGAGAAAAGCCGACATGTTTACTCTCTGGTTGCCATTACCTGTCTCCCTCAGGCAACCACGACGACCGGCTGTCCAGGGAGCTGGTTGCCGAGCTCTTCGGCGACTCTGTCAACTACGCCGAAGATGTGCTCGTCTTCCCCTCTGTAAGGCACATAGGACCCACCGGCAAAGAGGAAAGCGCGAACGTTCATGTGCGTTTATTGATCAGCCGGACAAGCCCCTCGTCAAGATGCAGGTAGGTAGATAGAGGCACAGGTGTCATGCATGACATACACATACCCGACATCAATCCCGCTTCCTGCCCTGCAGCACGGCCACTTGAACGACTTGTTCAACCGACCGGTATGGACGGTCACACGAGACACACGCTGCATATGTGTCCGCCTTGTCTCGATGTCTCTTCCCATCCGCAGGATCCCTACGGCCGCCCGAGTACGTGTCGCGCTGCCAGGCCGACTCATATTACCGGAAGATGCCCTTCGACGAAAATGCTTCATCGACCAAGGAAGAGGTGAAAAGTGACAGGAGGCGTCGAGGCCCATGCACATATGTGTTTGTGTCTCTCTGCTGTATCTGACGCGTACGCCTTTGACAGGGCTTTCACCGGTGGTTCGGTCAGCTCCCTGAGTCGGTGAACGACTGGATCAAGCAGAACACCTGGCTCAACCAGACATCAGACCCATTCGCCTTACCGGTCAGTAATGCAAACTGGTCACAGCCAATTATAAACCAAGCCACACATCGCCACTCATGCGCACGGGTTTGTCCTCTGTCTCGTCACGATTCACCGACCAATCGTTCAATCAGGTGTACAGCGAGACGCTTCGCGGCTCTTTAAAGCTCCTCAGGCGCGGGTTCATCGGCAGATGGCTATCGGGGAAGTACATTCGGAGCATGTAAGGAAGAAAAGACGTCGCAAGCCGAGAAAGAAATCGTACCGCAGAGTTCGCGAGCCCTCGCATGAAAGGTGTGTATTTCTCGACTGTATGCCTGCAGCATCAAATATGGCTTCCCAGCCGTCGCGTGAGCGAGACTGACAGCACACGGATGAGGCTCCCACCTTCTCTGTGTGCACGTATGCGTGTGTGTCTGCCTTTCAGTCGCTGGACTATGCTGGCAGCGTGTGCATTCGACGAGTGGCCGACCGACGAAGAGATGGCAACAAAATTTTTCCAAGGCCAGGTTGGCAGCTAGCCGCCCACCCAGTGCGTGTACACCAGCGAAGCTCTGGTGTGCTGACATCAGCGCAAAGGCAAGAGTGTGTCATTCATCAAGCCTGACGAGAGCATGTACGACGTCATCCAACGGTACGCATCGCTGCCCTGCGACTTCAAGACCAAGGAGGGATTGTCGGAGGACCTCATCAAGGAACTGCTCATCGGGTCCACTGCCAACCAAGAGTACTTCGGTAGGCACACCGTCAGACAAACGATTTTGCCCCCTTATGTCCACCAATTGTGTATTTGTGTTTCAGTCTGCAGCGAGACCGATGCGCTGGTGACCGTCATGGGCCACACCCACAGTAAGTATACACACACCTTACAACGTGCCACAAAGATCGCAGAATTGGAACATAGGTGTCCGTGTCCGTGTCTCTCTTCCCTCTGCGTCTTTCCTGGTCTGCAGATCACTACTTGCGCAAATTTGAAAAGTACAAGAAAGGCGCCGGGCAGATAATATACGCCAACTCGGGCGGATGGACCGACTCCTGCAAGAAGGTAACCAAGAAAGCGGCAGTGCAGAAAGAGACGCATACGAGTCAAATCTCTCCACCCATGTATGTTGATGCGTCCATCCGCGCTTGTGTGCATGCAGACATTTGTGGACATCAAGATGTCCACTGGGCTCACTACTTACCCTCCGTCCGTCGCCAAGTTTGCTGCCAAGTGGAAGGCGCCCCTGAACACACCCGTCCGTGTGATGGACGAGTACCCGCTGCGCGTCGAGCTCTGGGAGTGGAATGACGGGTATATATCCCGCGGGACCTACTCGCGGCCTTTCTTTCGATCCATTCACATGTGTATACGTGTGTGGAGTGCAGATTCCCCTCCCTCCTGGCGGCTTTGAACACAGAGTACCTCACGAAAGTCACCCCCACAACATGGGACTGGCTTAAAGACAAGATCAAGAACATCGGCGAGGAGATTGACGAATGGAAGGAACAGGCGAGCAAAGGAAAAGCCATGTCACCCAAAGTGACCGGAGGAGGCTCACTGCATTCTCTGTCTGCCTGCCCTCAGGAGAAGCCAGACCCACTCGAGGACGAAGAGGGCGACGAGAGCTGCGAGGAGCTGCACAAGGAGACGTGGACCGAGTGGCTCCATCGGCTCGGCGCACACGTCTTCTGAGGCACACATACACGCTAGAGATTTGATGAGAGGGAGGGAACTCTTTTCTGTTTGGGATGAGACACAAACGCGAAGACAAGGGGAAGGCCGCATTTGTGTTTGGTTTTGCGAGTGAATAACTGAGTGATCAGTCAGACACAGTCAACTAACGGATTCAATCGAGCCACATATAATGACCTGTGCCCAACGTCACGCAAATCGCATCTCTCATTACTTGAGTGTCAGTCCCCCATTTCCCCCGGCTGTTGTGGCATTCGCGACAGTCCTTCAAACTGAGATGTCATGCACAGCACAATAACAAACAAGCCATCAGTTCAATCCTCTTCGTTCGTCGAAGTCGAACGATTGCGAGCTTAGCTGAGAGGGAAATCCCGCGTTGCCATGATGACGTCTTCCTCCTCCGATGTTCAGCCCGTCAGCTTGGAGCATCTCCGGACAAAGCCACGAGTGCTCGACTGCAAGGGCACGCCTGTGTTCTGCCGTCCGATGCGCCCAACAGACTACCCGGCCGTGAGAGATCTGTTGCCCAAGGTGAGCGGATAACACGGGCGCTTTCGTCTACAGTGTTTTTTAGCTGTGTTGTCTGCCATTGTCATAGGTCTCCCGCTGCCGTGAAGAGCACTCGCTGGAGCTGGTGGCCGCCTACTTGTCCCTCCCCACCTACCACGCCTTCTGCTGCTTCACCTCCACTGACCCAGACCAGCCCTTCTCCGCACCAGCGGCACCAGCAGTAGCGGCGGCCACCACCAACGGACATGACGGACCTTCCACCCTCCCAGCCGACTTTGACGAGTCATCCTTGGAGCTGGTGGGGTACGGTGAGCTGTACCTGATGCCGCACATGGGGAGGGGCTTCGACGGCCGCCTGGAGAGGGTGGTGGTGTCGGAGGGCTTCCGAGGCAGGGGGCTGGCCACCGCCCTGTGTGAGCACATCATCGAGCAGGCGCGGGGGCCGCTGGCGTGCGGACGGGTGGATTTGACGGTCGAGAACCCTGCCGCCAAGCACATCTACACCAAGCTGGGGTTCGAGGACGTGCAGACCAAGATGATGCGGCTCATGCTGTGAGCAAAGTGGTGTGATGAGAGGAGGCAGGCGGCACACAGACGGAGGCCGGTGAGTAGCTGTGCGAGTTAGTCGATTGAGGCCTGCTCGTTTGAGTAGTATTGATGTGTTTGTGCCGACTCCTTTTGTGTGCGAATGTGTGTCTGGGTGAGATAGACGGACATCACGCTGATGCATGCACGTGACCACTCATCAGTCACTCTCTCCCACGGGAATACTTGTAAGGAAGGAACAAGGGAAAAAGAGACCCATTTGTCTTACTCGTCTAGACAAGCTTAGCAGGAGACACATACACCAATCAACCAGGCTTAGAAATAGAGGCAAGCAGAAACTAAGAAGGAAGCAGCGAGGAGAGCGACAAAAAGACAGACAATCACGTGTCGGTTGAAAACCTGCTTGACGCCCCATGCACACGTATGGATGGAAACAAACACACATCGTGGGCTCTTATGAATCAATGCAGCCCAGCCCCACTGACTGATTGATGGCCCACATCAGTCAGTCACTTGACAGCTCACTCACGTGTAGACGTCTCCCTTCTTGCCGACAGTGTCTGCCTTGGGCGAGAGGGGCTGGTTGGTCGCTGCCGCCCCCTCCTGCTTGGTCACCCAGCTGAAGTAGCGGTTGTAGACGTCACTCCACTTCTCATCTGTGCTTGCCGGGGCACCCCTGAGCGGCTTCACGTTCTCTGTCGAGGCATCGCTCACGCGGTGCTGCTCATAGGGCACCTCGGCGCCCTTTACAGGCGGGGCGCTGGCAATGGCCGTCTCGCCGAACGTCTTGGACGGCGCTGCGACGAACTTGGCCCTCCTGCAGTCATCCAGTCAAAAATTGTGGACGGATGGATGCGTGTGTCGTCTGTGGCGATGGCTCACTTTCTGAAGCACGTGAAGTAGACGATTGCGGCAGCGATGGTGATGACGGCGAGGCAGCAGAGTGCGCCGATGAGGAAGGCCATCTCTGTCGAGAGGCCCTTGTCTTCCTTCTTGGGCTCAGCCCAGGACGGCAGGCCGTCGCCCAGCTGGTCGTCGGCAGATGACCCCCGGCCCGCCCCCAGCACGTCATAGGAGCCGTTGTTGTTGTCCGTAATGCCTACAAAGGCGTAGTCGGCCGACACGCCGTAGATGTTCTTGCTGAACGCCATGATATACGCCGCACCTGGCGGAATCCTGCACCCACAGACAGACAGACAGACACACAGGCAGGCAGACGGACAGATGGCAGTCTCTTCAGTCCAGTGTGTGTCTCCGAGCCATCTTTCCTCCAGCGAGCTCACGGTTCGTTTGTGAAGGTGTAGGAGAGTTTGGAAACGCCGTAATTGGGCTTGATGTTGCTGGCGACGTGCTGGAGTGGAAGGTCTATGAGGTCCTTAATTGGACTGAGGCGCTGGTCGCCCCAGCGGATGGCGTAGTACCTGATGCCAGTCTCGTCCTGCGCGTAGTCAACGTGCAGTGTGACAGTCAGCTGCATTGGCACCTCATCCGTGTCATTCCTGAACGCGCGAAGCACACACACACACACACACAGACGGATGGATGGATGGATGGATGGCGTAGGTGTGTTTGGGTTGATTGCATACGAGAGCATGGCGGCGATTGGTGAGAATACGGGTGGCGGGCAGTCGCCGTCCGCGCAGTGGCTGGGGGGAATGGACGTCATGGCGAGGACCCGCATTTCGTTCGGAGGCTCCTGCATATCGTTAAAGAGTTTCGTCCTGTTGTTGGCGTCCCGCAGCCGCGTATCGAGTGCACGCTGTGCCTCCATCACTGTGTCGTAGTTTTCCTGCTCGCCGGGCGTGGCGTCTTCGCCGCCCTCAGGCTCAATATTGGCGTTGACCTCGGTGCTGCCGTCGGCCTGGAGGCGCCTGACGATGCCGTTGACGAACGAGCCGACGGTCCTGCCACCGGCCTCGTAGATAGCGTCGTGTAGGCGTCGCGACTTGAGAGGCTGCACGTCGGCAATCTTGATGCGGTCGGCGGAGATTTCCAGGAGGGTGGCGATGTTGTTGATCATCTTGCCCCGTCTGGTGTCGGTAAAGTCGTCCAGAGGCACATCCAGCTTCAGGTTGAGCTGCACAATGGTCGTCGTCCGGATGACAATGTAGTTCTTGCCTGCACACACGCACTCGTCCAAGGAGCGGAAACAAGAGGCGATCGATGTGCGTCCGTGCGTCCCTGCCGACTGACCGTATTCAGCTTGGCGGCCGCCCTGCATCACCAGGTGGAATCGCCTCAGTTGGGGGTTGTTGGCATTGGTCCCATGCGTCGCATTCACCAGCACCGGCTTGGTTGTGAGGGCGAGGCTGGACTCGCGTTCGACGCCGTTGCGAAAGACGTGTCTCTTGATGGGGTCTCTGTAGAAGATGTTGAGCAGGATCTTGTCGTCCTCGTCGGGCGACATGTAGTGGAGCTCCATGCTGTTGGGCGTGGTGCCCAGCAAGGTCAGGTTGTACTCTCGGTCGGGAACCAACGGCGCTTGGACCAACGAATAGTAGAACCTGCAGAAATCCATCCATCCATCCACCCACCCTCTTTGTGTTGGTTCTGTGTGGGCACAGGTCAGTTGCTTGCTGACCGTTTGGCGCATTCGTCGTTGCCCATTCCCTGTGCGGCGAATTCTTTCTCCGTGCCGTTTGCCACCTCTCGTCTCATGACCATTGGCGGGATGCGCCGGCTGCCGCTGTCGGGGTCCAGGGAATACAGACTGAACCAACGGAACTTGAGCGAGCGGCAAAACTTCAACCCTGGCGAATCACACACACACACACACACGCAGAGAGAGAGAGAGGGAGGGTGGCTGGCGCGTGTCAGTCTCTGTGTCAGTGTGTCCCGTTGTCGCACGCACTCATATCGGTGAGGTCTTCGCAATCGGGGTAGTTGTCGATGACCGCCACTGACTCTTTGGGCGTGAACAGGCCGGAAGTGCCCTGGCCCAGCAAAGTACCGTCCATGTCGTGGCCGAAGGTCAGCTGCACGGCGTCGCACACACCCGTCGCGTCGTCGGGGTTGCAGCCCGTGCCGCCCTCGCCTGCACGCGTGTCGAGACGGAACTTCTGCCCATTCTCTGGACACAGCACAGCAGACATCCATGGTTGCATTCATCGCATCACCAGCACCACAGTGGGTCTGGCTGACCGGTGTCGATCCACTTGGTCTGGTAAAAGTCCATGTCAGGAGTGTAGTCGGGCTGGCTGGGGTTGTGGGCCACCGCGTAGGCCTTCTCGTTGCACTCGTCCTTGAACTTGGCGAACACGGTGTTCCGCAGCTCCACATGGGCGTAGATGCCGCCGCGCACACCGTATCGCCGCTCCCAGGGGGGCGAGCACATGCGCTCGGGGACGGTGGGGGGGCGGCAGTCCATCCCGCCCTCGCCAGCATCGAGACCGACGTCCATCACACACGTCTTGGCGCGATTCGTCTGCACACGCAATGATGCAATAAGGCAGACGGGCCAATCCGCGTGAGCCTCCACCCACCGACCGACGGACCTTTTGGACTGTCATGAAGCCGACGCGTCTGACTGTCTCGCCGGTCACTGGGACGAACTCGGGCCCGGCAAAGACAGAGTTGCAGCCATTGGGCTCCACGTCGCCCTTCGTGAAGGCCTGTGCCACACACACGCAGACACACACATGAATGAGAGAGGAATGTCATTTGTGTGCGTGTGTGACAGAGACAGGCAGGGAGGCACCAGGCAGGTCTGTCCATAGCAGGTGTCTCCGTCGGTGCGAGTGGAGGCGGCGGTGGTGCCCATGAGGATGGTGTCCTGCAGCCAGGCGTACTGGATCTTGGTGTAGTGCACAAAGTTGAGCGAGATGCCGATGTGCGAGTCAGACACCGTCACGCTGTTCAGCTGCATGTCGGCACCGGTGTCCACCACCAACACGCCCTGCGCCCATCCACACACACACGCACACAAAGGAGAGAGGTGGGTCTGTGTAGTGGGAGGGGGGAGAGAGGGCTCCTTACGAAGTGCGCGGCTTTCCAGATGGTCCACTTGTTGAGTGCCTTGCACTGGTTGCCGGTGGTGCCGCCGGTGCCACCAGCCCCCATCTCGGGCCACATGTACACGCCGATCACCGCACCCACCACCTCGTTGCTACGCACCGTCTCTGTGTGCGCCCACCCATCCACACCACACACACACATCGCACACTCATCAACGGCGATCGATGTCTGTGTGGTGTGAGTGAGTGATGCGTGTGCACCCACCCTGGCCGCAATCGTCTGCGACGATCATGAAGCCAGTGTCCTGCGAGCCGGAGGCCACGTTGCCCGTCACCCACGTCTGCCTGCACACCCACCACACACACGGGAAGGATGAATGGGGGCTTGTGTCTGTGTGTGTCTGTGTCTGTGTGGGTCTACTTTGCGGCCAGGTAGAATGAAGCGTAGGTAATGAGCCAATCGTCTGGATCCTCTGGATCACGCCGTGTGCCGACCACAAGGTTGTTCTATCCCACAGACACACGCACACACAGAGACAGGCACACATACGCCCACAGACAGAGACACAGAGGAAGAGACGTATCTGTCTGTGTGAGTGTCGCCCTCCCCCCTTGGCTGCGACGCCTACAGTGATTTCATTGCGGTCAGCGTCGTTCCACGCCTCGACGGTCTGTTTGCATCCGTGGTAGTAGACGTTGCTGTCGATGCGCGTGTTGTGGATGCCCCGCAGCACCGTGCCATAGTTGAGGAGCGAGAAGGAGCAGCCGATGACACTGTTGGGGTACACGCCCTCCACGATCTCCATCGCCTCGTCCCGGCCGCCGTCGTTCTTCGACAAGTGGTACTCGAAGTTGAGCGCTCCCCACGGCAGAGACTGCTTGCCGGCGTTCTCAAAGTGGACATACTTGGCGTCGATGTGGCCGTATCGGTATGTGGTCACGCCCTGGTCGACGTCCTCCTGGGCGACAGCCACCACCGCCAGGTGTCCGCCGAACACCTTGTTGGGGTCGCCGTCTGGCAGAGCGCCCCTGACAACGACGTTTCTGGTGATCTTGCCGACAGGCGCGCGCATCTCCACAGTGCGTGTGTTGCCGGCGGCGTCAGTGACGGTCTCAACGCCAGCGTAGTGCCTCTTCTGGAGAGCTGGGGCGATGTTGACTCTTGTGACGTAGACGCCGGTGTCGCCGACAGGTCCGGAGGGATCGCCGACAGAAGTGATCTTGACCTCCTCAATCTCCCTCCAATCGTATTCGGTGGACCCGATGACCAGCACGTCGTTGGCCGCCCAGCCCTGGAGGACGCCGATGCTGCGGACATCGATGGACTGGGTTCCTGCCTCGGCTGTGGTCTCGAGCTTGGCCCAGGGGGTGGTGGTCGCGCCCAGCAAGTTGAGCTGGCCCACTACGCCAACGGCCTTGTTGCCTAGCCTGCACACATTCATGCGCACACCAACAACGGGCTCGGTTGCTCTCTCTGTCCCTCCCTGTTCGTTGCCTCACGCACCAGACGTCCTCGGCGTATGGCGTCATGGATTTGTCGAGGTCGTTGCCGTGCAGCTCGATGGTGGCGGTGAAGTCGGTGGCGCGGTAGTCGATGTGCAACATGCCCGACACGCGGATGTTCTTGGCCTTGAGCAAGATGTTGCGACCGCCACCGCCTTCCGCGTCCTGGAAGTCCGTTATAAGGATGTCCAGACGCCCTGCAGGCGCACAGACAGACAGACAGACAGACAGGCAGACAGACAGAGAGACGGGCAGACAGAGACATGGATGGTGGATGGCTATCACCGCACTGCCGACCTCCCCCACCTTCCCCACCTCTGACGTCGAGTTCTGGGATGATCTCGTTCTCGAGTGCTCCGGCAGCCGTCGCATCGATGTAGATCCACCTGGTGGATGGGATGATGAGAGGGTCGCCGCTCTTGGGGAAGCTGTTGCTGCCGCCAAACTCGCTCGCATCCTCGAAGAAGCCCTCGATCCTTCTGTGCTTGCCCTCATCGACGTCGTCACCGGGCCGGACCCACGTGTCGGCTTCCGACCATGCGTATCTGGTGTCGCCCCAGTCGCCCTCCTCAATTGCGGGGCAGCCCGTCTCCTCGCACTGCCGCGCCTTGATGGCCATCGTGAAGGGGCTCGACAGGTTCGCGATCTCACCTGAAGACAGGCAGAGATTTGTTCATCGTAGGGTGGCATGCTATGCGCACATGGACACATTAGATATACCTTGCTGGTAGATTTTGTCGGTGTTGAGCATCAAGGCAAAGGTGCCGTTGTGGGCGCGGCCGCCAGGCAGAATGTGGGTACCGAATGCCATTTCTGCCCACACAGGCAGCGCACAGCAAACAGGAGAGAGACAGAACTCCCACACCTGAAAACCTCTGTCTACTGCTCTGCCTTCTTACCGTTTGTGAGTGTGGTGATGGGCTTTTCGGTCTCCGTGTAGAGGCTAAAGAGGTCGGGGTCGCCCTCGGGCCCCTTCTTCTCGAGGCCAATGATGCGCACCAGGGGAGCCGACTCGTTGTCCTTGGCGTCGATGGTGGTGCACTTGCCGCCCAAAGAACCAGCACAGTTGCCGCCCAGCACACCGTCCCAGCCCACTGTGTTGGCCTCCGTCCACGACTCGTCGTACTTGTTGCTGTCGTACCATGTCGGCACTGTGACCAAGAAGTGGTCCCTCCAGTTGTCCCACTGCCAATACATGCCTGTACGCATCCAGCCATCCATCGAAGACACAAGCGGAATGACCCCATTGTCGGCCGCACACACACACGGACGGACGTACCCATCCACTCTTTGGGTTCCCGGTTTGTCGTTGCCGCCATTTCTTTGTACTTCTCTATGTAATCGGGGACGCCGTACTCGAGCTTGAACTCACGGAAATTCGAACGCATCCTGCTCATACACACACACAGACAGGGAGAGAGGCCACATGCCCTCATCCACGTGTGTGGTCGTCCCCCAGTCCGTTCCCTCACTGACGCGGAGTTCCATGTGATGTTGTAGTAGGCGTCTGCCTGCAGAGGGACGGCCCAGCCGGAGAAGTCACGTGGCCGGTAGGGGATGCGGTCGGTCTGGGGCGGCAGGCCGCTGTCCACCACCTGCTTCTCGGCCTCCCAGCTGTCGGCCCCGAAGATCTCCATCTCACGCCACAGCAGCTCGCGGGGCTCCATGCTCTTGAACTTGACCTTGCTGCACAGACACAGACACAGACCCAACACACCCGGCAAAGGCACGAATGAGCGTTGAGATGGGAAGGCAGGCAGTGTGCTTCCTTCAGTGACCGACCGACCGGATGGGTCTGGTGCAGACGAGTCCCTTGTCGTATGTGTCGTCCTCGTTCATGTGCCTGCAGCTGCTGCGGTTGTTGAAGGCGAAGTACTGCGTGGCCCAGCTGCACACAGCCACAAAACATCCATCCATCTCGGCCGTGTCCATTCACTACCGACCTGTTGGCTCCTAAGCCCGTGAAGGATCCGTCAAGGTCCCAGATGATGTCTTTGAGGGTCCAGTCGACCCGCTTGTTGGAGTTGACGAACTTGAGGTTCTTGACGCGCGTCGTGTAGGCGCCCTGGGCCATGTCCGTGTCAGACAGACACTTGGTGCACGGCTCTACACACACACAAAGGGCACACACACACACAGAGCCGTCATCGCCGGGTGTGGTGGGGTGCATTGTTTACTGATGGCATAGTTGTTTCCGAGGTTGACGAAGTAGGCGTCCTCGATGCCCCAATACTCCTTCTGCGGCGCCATGATGCCGCTGCCACCCGAGCCGTCGACCGAGCCCACCACCAGCATCTTGTAGAAGTTGGGCGGCGACTTTTCGCCCACGTCCTCGTGCATCTTTTCCCACTCCACACCGAGGCCGTTCTCGAAGAGACGATAGCCGTGGTGATGCGCATCGCCCACCTGATCGATTCATACATCAACCATCCATCCATCCACACACACATGCACCCAAATGAACGAGTGGCTTGCCTCTTTGTGGAAGACGCCGCGCCCATTTCGGTAAGAGAGCAGTGTGTCGAGGTACTGCGGTTTGGTGACGGAGCCGCCGCAGGGGTCCGCCATTGGGTTCCATCCCGGGTAGATGCGGAGGCCGATACTGTTGGAGTGGGCAGAGTTGTTCTTGTACTGACCGACGTGCTCTTTGATGGGGCACAGATCCATCGTGGCCGAGGGACCGGTGGGCCGGCCTGTCAGCTCGAACCAGAAGCCCCACGATACTGAGCCGGCAGCGACGTTGTGGCGCCAGTAGTTAGAGGGGATTTGCTGACAGGGGAACAGAGAAAGACATCCATGCATGACCTCACTTTGCAGCGGAGAGGTGGACGTGGCATGATGTATACGCACCTGCCAGAAGCTCGCTGTTGTGCAGTGATGACAACAGGATGGCAGAGACACGAGAAGTCAATCACGGGCGTGAGTGTGTGTGTGTGATTGATGTGATGTACCTGGCTTGAGGTCTCCCTTGAGCATGACGGGATTCTTGCGCGTGAGAGCCACCAGGTTGCCCTCAATCCGATTGTACTTCTCGGCACCATCCTCCACAAACACAGTCTGCACACACAATACAGAAATGCATCCCCACTCCTCCACCCACATGGGCGTCAAGGCACTACACACGCCCACGTACGTGGCCAGCGACGTCGTAGTAGCAGTTGTCGGTGATCTTGGCGTACCACACGCCGTGGATGGTCGTGCCTCGCTGGAAGGAGTGGTGCACAGAGTTGGCCTTGATGTAGCCGTCGTGCAGGATCGACGACAGGTGGAAGTGCGAGCAGTATCGGCCGAGATTGCCCTGCTGACCGCAGTGGTACAGCTCGGCGTTCTCAAAACGCTGGAGAGCACCGACAGCCGCCATCGTGTGCACACCGTATTTCTGACACACAATGCACAACGCAGAGACGGTGGTCGGCCCCTCTCTCCACTCTCTCTGTTCCCCAGCAATCTGCTCTGCCTGCCCACCTTACCTGTTTTGGAGAGTTTTCATCTCCGTGTATCTTGATGTTCCTCGTCATGAGGCCGGCTTCACAAGTGAGTGTGGCCGGCTCGTGGTCCTTGACAATGTCGACATTCCACTCGTCGAGCTTGGCTTGCGTGACTGTGGTGACGATGTGGTCATGCTTGAGGGGCGTCTGGAGGGTCACGATATTGCCAGCGGAGCTGGCCACCTTGTGGACCTCGATCTGGCCGAGGGAGCTGGTGCACGACGTGATGAAGATCTCCTCGTCCTCGGCCCAATCCACTTCCGTCTTCAGGGTTATCTCGGTGTCATCTGCAGACAGACAGCCAAACACACAGAGAGACAGACAGACATGGGAGAAAGACGTCTGTCTGTCTGTCTGTCTGTCCATCTTTCATGCATGCACGCATACAGGGCTAAAGGGGCACCCACCCTTGAGAGCAGTTTCTGCGAGGAACGTCCAGACGCGCTTGCGGACTTTGCCGTGTATGTCCATGAGACCCATTCTGCCGACAGTGGAGCTGGGCGAGACGGCGAGCATCTTGTTTCCCACGTGGGGCATGGCGATTGTGTCGAACTTGTCGCCGTGCAGCACGATCTCGGCGTTCTGCTCGAAGGGTTCGGCCTGCGTCCCCAGCTCCCTGAACACAGCCAAAGCCAGCCAAGATAGGAAGAAAGGAGCACACCAACATTGGAGTGCCGGCTGTGTGTCTTTTCCTGACTGACTGACCAGATGCCTCCGTGGATCCAGATGTACCTGCATGAACCAACACCAACACCGACACAGACACAGACACAGGTGCGTGTGCGTGTCTGCCCGTCGCCCTCCCTCCCTCCCTGTCTGCCCTGACTTACGTAGATTCCAGTTTGAGGTCCTTTCGGTCCCACACGAGCATGCCGTGGATGAGCAGCATCTCCAGCTTGGGCGGGCTCACGTCCAGCAGCACACACTGACCGTCTGACAGGTGCGGAAGGAGAAATGACAGACACACAGACCAGACAGACAGAAGGGGCAGACAGACAGGCCATCGGCTCGGTGTGCCCATATGAATGCGTACGGACCTGGTATGATGACGAAGTCGTCTTCTGCAGGCTCCTCGAAGTCTTTCCATGTGTTGACATCCGACCACCGGTCGAGGTAGCGGAAGTAAACCGTCTCGGTGTTTTCCACCATGGCATTGCCCCGACCCGGCACCTTGACGTCCACCGAGAAGGCTGCAGAGAAAACGGATGAAGATGCAATAAGAATGGACAGACAAAGAGACCAGTGCTGCTGCCTTGATCATTCACTTTGCATGGTGGATGTGTCCCTTCGCCCGGTTGTGCACTTCCACTCCGTCTCAGTGGCGGTCGTCACTTCGCACTCGACGCCGTTGAACTTGACGATCCGTTCGGGTGGTTCGGTGCCAGGGTTGAGCCCAGTGCCCTTGATGCTCACGGTATCGTTTCCAAGCGAAGAGCCGTACTTGGAATTGTCGGTCTCCTTGCCGATGCTGCTGATGAGCGGCGTGTTGGCCCAGCTGTAGGCGACCACATAGCTGGCGTCGGCGACCGCGTTGGACGGAGTGGGTGGCTTGGTGATGAAGGTGGGCTTCGGCTTGATCTGCACGTGGGTGGGGCACTCACCGCCGGCAGCCGTGGCGACCACCACGTGACCCTCAAACCTGAATGAATCAATGAATCGAGAAAGGGGACAAGAACGGACAGATGGACACAGAGCGCCACACAGAAAGAGAGAGAGGCATTGGTGCACGTGAGGTGACGTACTTGATGTCGTGGATGTAGCAGCGGTGTGTTGCACCCCAGTAGCTGCACCACGCCAACAGAATCGATGCATGAGGAGCCTATTTCTTTCTCCTTTCTTTCCTTCTTTCTTTCTTTCTTTCTTTCGCCATACCGGAAGTATCTGGCGGTGACGGGGGTGCCCAGCTCGTCTGTCTCCTCGACCTTGAACTCGCGGGCGGTGAACTCGTTCCATCCTTCGTTTGGCCGTGCGTCAGCGAGCCGCATGAAGGTCGTCCAGGTGCTGCCGTCGTTGGACCACTGGAACTCGCCCAGCTTGAAGAAGTTGCGCTCGTGATGCGTCGCGGGAGGGAAGAAGGCCAGGTTCGTCAAGTAGCCCTTGACCTTCTCGCCCTACACGCACCGCAACGAAACACACAGGAGAACTAGCCTGGCCGAGCCCATCCGTGGCCTGCGTACCATATCGATGCCAACATAGCATCGGTCGCCCGAGTCCGCGCCATGGTCGATTGTGCCGGCCGTCTCAGGGTCGTTGTCGAAGATGCGGCTCTTGTCGTACTCCTTGTTGGCCGTCTCGTCGAGCGAGCTCAGGGTGGCTTCGTGGGGGAAGATCTCCAGCGGCAGCACCACATTGCGATCCGCCAGCTGACCGATGTCCGCCTCGGTGAGGACTGGCGGGGTGCGGCAGGTGGCCTGTCCATACACAGGGCCGTCCTCGACTGCACAGGGGAGGCCGCAGACGGTGATGCGGTTGTCGTTGGGAATGTCGCTGAAGCCTCTGCCGGCGAACGTGATGAGCTGGCCGCCGGCAACGGACCCTGGACCGCTGCCGTCCGATGTCACGCCGGTCACTGCGAGTTCAAATGTGATCTGGAAGGAGGCGGCCAGACCCTTGCCGCCGACGTACACCTCAACCCAATGGGTGCCTGAAGACACACATACAGGCAGACACACATGTACCGGTGAGGAAGGGATGGATGAGGTGCACCTTGTCTACATGGACATATGTGTGTGTACCTGCCGTCTACATGGACATATGTGTGTGTACCTGCCGGCGTATCACCCAGAGTGCATTTGATGGAGGTGGCGTCGGCCGATTGCCAATCGGTGATAGCGCACTCCTTGCCGCCGATGACGACCTTCCGCTTGTCGGACTCGGGGACCTCCTGGGTGTCATCGTCTGTCAGGCTGCACGAGTCTGTCACGAGGGGGGGCTGGACGTCCTTCTCCTCGAAGAAGGTCTTGAATGTGTGGTCGGTGCCCATGCCCTTGATCTCCAGCGTTTGGCCCTTCTTGAAGCCGCTCTCGATGGTAACCTTGTTGTTGTCGACGTTCGGGTTATTGCCATCCTGGAGCACCTTGGGCGTGATGCCCGTGTCGATGTACGCCACCTGGCAGTTGCACCTCGTCTCGCACTTTGACGACTTTGCTATCAGATCGTCGGGCCACACTACCGCTGCAGCAGCAATGCACACACATGGGGGCAGCATTCGCGTGAGTGTGTGGTGGTCATATGGGTCGTCATGTGTCTCCTACTTACTTTGGAGTCGTCTGCGTCTGTGCGAGCCGACGTCCTCCTTGGCCCAGTCTCTGATCATGGTGACGACGATATCATCAGGCTCGGTGTGGATCGTAGCGTTGCCGGCGTCTCCACGGGGGGCAGACAGGCGGCGACGGGAGTCGGCACCCGAGATCTCCCGCTCCTGACGGAGAAGCCTCACTGCATGGCTGGTCCACGCTGCCGCCTCCTACACGAACACACAAAGATGAACCGTGATGTTCATGTGCCGTCCCTCCCTCTGCCCCGGCGTGCGTGGCTGCCTGACCGCGTCTCCCTTGGTCCTGTGTGTGTTGTGGTGAGTGCCGCCTCCGAGGGCTATGTCAACGTCATGGTGGCGGTGGTAGGAGAGCTCTTTCTTGTGCAGCGAGAACCGAGACGCCACGCCGCCTTTGCCGTGGGCTCTGAGGCGACGACGGATGCGGTCGGACGGATGCAGCGATATCTCAGCTGCACAAAGAGAAGATAGGTGTACACGCAAAGACACATGAAGCGAGGGAGATCCGCCTGTTGTCATTTGCTACTAACTCTTGGGAGTGAGCCGCCTTCGCCTGCTGGACGTGTCGGTGGTGAAGAGAGTCTCGTCCTGCCCGAGGACACGGACTTTGATGTCCGCCAGCTGGAACTTGTCGTTGCCGACTGTGTCGGGCTTCTTGGATGTCATGCACTTGAGCCTCGTGTGGGACGCCTCGATCGGCTGCACACACATAGAAAGGCGCACACACACACAGAGAAAGAGCGCCAAATCGACGAGACATGTGCAGTTAGTCTGCCGGCAGCTGAGGGTACCGTGCAGTCGCCCCATTCGTTGTCATTGTTGCTTGGGTCGAGTATCTTGACCTCGTTCTGGTCAGCCTGGGGACTGAAGCCCTCGCCGATCAGCGTTATCACACGACCGCCCTACATGAATACAGTCAGGGAGCATCGAACGCAGGACACGTCTGCGTGTGGCTCTGCTGGCCTACCTCCATGGACGATCGGCGAGGCTTGACTTCGGTGAGGATCAGCTGATTGAGGAAGCCCTCTGCCGCCACGTTTGTGGCGTCCTTGGCGTACCCATCGCCTGCACACCACGCAAACACGTCACGCCGTCCCCATCCATCCATCCATCCATCGTGTGTGTCCGTTCCCGCTGACCGACCTTTGATCCACAGAGTCACGGGGAGTTGGCTGGCGGGGTATTCAGGGATAGTGCACTTGGCTGTGAGGGTGGAGCCAGATATGCTGGTCACATCACAGAGCTCGCTCTCCACGTGGCTGTCCGTCGCATGGTTGCCCAAAAGCAGCCTCGCCGTGTCCCCCGTGGTGGCCTTGGACTCGGCTGTGTCGGCCAGCTGTGCTGTGAAGGTGACCTCAGTGCCACTCTTGCCGGTAGTGTGGCTCATTGACGTGAGGGTGTTGGTCTGCTTGGCCGTGTACTTGAACATGCAGTTGCTGCCGGAGTCCTCACAGAGGGGCTGGACAGAGTTGACGGTAAGGTTGATGTAGCCGGTGACCTCCAAATTCTTGGTGCAGATCTCCTGTGCGGCCTCCTCGGCGTTGGTGTACTCCTCACGGACGGGCCAGGCGAAGTCACAGAGAGACGGGGTGACGCACTCGATGCGGGTCGCCGTGGCTTCTGTCACCTTGCAATCCAGCTTAATCTCAGCTGATGAATCACCAGAGAGGCAAGCAACACACACGGCGATCAATCAATGCGTGTGTGAGTGTGTGTATGTGCTCGGGCTACCTTGTTTCTCCTTGGTCTCTTCGAAGCCCTCGTGTGTGTAGTCGAACCAGAGGTACACGTTGTAGTCGGCCGTCAAGGGGTCCAGCGCGAACCCCTCGCCATCGATCTCGATCTGAGTACCGCCGTACAGCCCGCCTAACACGCAAACACACACACCGATATGACAACGCCTCAATGCAACTCGGTCTGCACGCGTACCCGAGGGCATCACGCCATTGTTGACCTTCGTGATTTTGTAGGTCATGTTGAGCTGAGTGTTCGCATCTGTCCCCCTTATCTTGGCCTTACCCCAGTCCGTGACCGTGAGGGTGGGCGGGACTTCCGTCACGGGGACGTCCGGCTCGGGATGGACACGTTTGAGGCGGCACAAGACGGTGTCAGGGTTAGTGTCGATGTTGATCTGTAGGATGCGGCAGGGGCGGTTGCCGAAGAAGACCGTCATGGGCGGCTCCCTGTTCTTGTCGGCCTCATCCAGGATGTCGTAAGTCGTCCCAGGCTCACCAAACTTCTCACCTGCATGAGCACACCCGTCGAAATAAGAGGACAATGGTGGCGCATGACCAGCGACCCACCCACGCACATACCTGTGATGGTGATTGATCTGGATACTGATGCTGGCACGATTAAGGGGTCAGAGCCGTTGCCAACCTCGATCGTGTCGATCTCGGGAGTCTTTAGATCCGAGTAGGTAAAATTGAAGGCTTCTATCCCGGAGGAGGCCGGGAGACCGTCAGCGCCTTCGTTGACCTTGACTACTGCACCGCCAGTCCCTTCCGGCGTGAGACACGTGATGCTCGTGTAGGACGCAGCTGTGATGGTGCAAAGCTCCGAGCCTGCGCATGGAGAGAGAAACAGCATGTGGTCGAGTTGGTGGATGCGGGTGTGCGCGTGTCTCCCTTACTCACCGACTTTGACGACATTTTCTTCGAGAGCCGCTTTGAAGCCGCTGCCTGTGATGGTGATTGGCAGCCCGCCGGCCTCCGACCCGTCCACAGGCGACGCATCGGCTGTGATCCACTGCAGGTACCCCATGCCGCCCGCGGGATACCCCGATCCAAGGGTGGCGATGCCTCTGCTCTTGACCAGCACCTCCAGGGGAATGTTTGAGCCAAACTCGCCCGCACCGACGGTGCAAGTGATAGTGCCGGGGTCGGCAGCGTCGACCGAGTCCACCTCGCACGGCGCCTTGCCGATCATCACAGTCACGTCCTCGGCCACAGCGTTGGCGATGTTCCTGACTGCATCGAGACACACATGCACAGGTGCATCCAATGAGAAAAAGGCATCTAGCCTCATTTGTGTGGTGCCAACGCACTTGTGATGGTGAGTTGGTCTCCCATCTTGACGTCTGTCTTGTCGATGGCCGTGACCTCGGGGGTGCGGCTGGTGTCGTAGGTGAAGGTGTGGCCGTATGCCGAGTCGTCCTTTTGGTGGGCAGCAACCATACCCGTCACCTCAACGTCAACCTGCACACACATGACACACACACAGAGAGAGATGCCAGTGGTGGGTGCGTGTGTGTCTCGGTGCGCGACCTGGTTGTAGTCGGGTGGCACAGCTGCTCTGAAGAAATCAGCCGGAATGGGCGAGAGGAAGACGTCCTTGGGGTCACCCTGTTCCACCACCATAACGGGCGGGCTGGCCAGGGAACAGTTGCCGCGAGTAAGGCCGCCCTTCTCGGTGTCCTGACCACGTTGCATACCGCACACACACACTCTCAAAGCGTTCCAGCGTATGTGCTCATCTCCTCTGCGCACCTCAGACGCAGTGATGGTCGGTATGACGCCGTCGCCGACCTTGCCCGGGACGCCGAATTGCACCACGCGGTAGACATCAGGACCGTCGCTCCAGCCCCAATACTGCACATATACACATTCACACGCATCAGCCGGACAGGCAGAAATGGATGGGGTGTTCGGCTGTGTGTGACCCGATCGACAGGGATGCCCGCGTTTTGGATTGCGTTGCGGAACTGCGAGGACGTCACATTGCCGTAGATGGGGACGATGGTCTCACCAACATGCAGCTTGATAAAGCCTGCACACACACCCCATCCATCCATCCATCTCTGCACAAGTCCTGCCGTACCGTATCTGTATTTGAGTGTGGGGTCTGCCACTTCGTCGTGTATGATGTGGAGCATGACGACGGCCGTCATGGAGTGGTACTGGCGCAGCAGCTGCTTGGCCGGCTGGTCAAGGCCGTCCACCGCCTTGATGCGCGCAGCCAGACGGAACCGACTCACACCCGTCCACTGAGAACAGAGACAATCCACCATGGCATGTGCACAGTGCGGGCAAATGAGGCTTACGTACCTCCCAGACTCTTGCGCGCATAAGGTATGGTGTCTCTGCCACGAGGTCCTGCTCGGCCGATATCTGGCCGGCCGCCTTCCAGTAGTACCAGTCGGGGCTTGTGGCTGACTCGATGTTGATGATCGGCGCCTGCCATTGGCCGCCGCTGTACATCCTGACACACACATACAGCCGTGTCTCTGTCTGTCTAAAAGTCTGATGTGTGTGTGTTGTTGTGGCTCACTCGAGTGTGGCCTGGTCATCGGCTGTGGCGTAGAAGACGTATTTGCCGCTGACAGGGGGGATGAAGTACATGACCATCTCCTCGCCGTAGTTGTCGTCCTCGCCGCCCGCGTTCTTGTAAAAAGACACAGATGTCTGCGTCACATCCTGCACACACACATAGACAGCATCATGTGATGTGTGTCTGGCTGCACACACATCCATCCATGTGTCGATGTGGGGCTGAATTTGACCTCCATGATTGGCGAGTTCGGGTATGGTTTTTGCTGGTCATCATTCGCGTGGTCAGGGTTGAACACGTCTTCTCTTGCGATGCGACTGTTGCCCACCTTGTACCAGCTGTATCGCTGAGTGAGTGACACCACACGCCACAAAGACGACAGAGAGCATTGTCCACCTTCTTCGATCTGTGCTAAGCTCAGTCCATTTTGCGTCTCACCCTCCTGGGAACGCCCCTGGGCCCCATCTTCCATGGGTCAGAGGTGGCAACGTCTTGCTTGGCGCGTGCCTTACATGTGATCATCTCGGGCTCCACGGTGAGCACATCACACGGGATGCCGGCCAGCGTCACATTGACGTCCTCTGGCCCCAGGCCGTCCATCGACTCGGGAAACGACGTGCCCTGCGAAATGGACACATACACAGAGACATAGAGACACAGTGTCCAGAGACATGCACGCACTTACGTTGATGTGGACAATGTCTCCTCCGTTTTGGCCGGTGGTGTCTGGCGTGACTTCCCTGACGGATGGGTAGACGGTGACGTGCCAGCTCTCGCCCGTAGCGACGTCATACTGCGCCGCATAGGGCTCCGCGTATGCACGACCGTAGCCACTCCAGTCCTCCTCGATGTTCTGCGCCTTGTGGACGATGCTGTGGCGGCCACACGGCAGCTCCTCGTACACAGTGCACGTAACCCGCTGGCTGCACACACACACACACACACAGAGACAGAAACAGTTCTTCTCTTCCCCATGTGTATCATGTGTGTGTTGTGCCTGAATGTGCATGTGCATACTTGTAGCTGACGCCTTCCTCTGCGTCAGGAGTTTCGCATCGCTTTCCGCCGATCCAAATCTGATGATGGTCGATATTTGAGACTGACAGGCACAGAAATAAAGGGATTGAAGCATAGAACGGAGCCAGATCGGTGCTTACGTTTGAGCGAGCCCTCGATTTTGAACTCGCTCCCTGCGGTGGTGGCCGACGTCATTGATGTGATTGTGGGCGTCTGACCCCACTCGTAATTGTACTTGGCGCTAGTCACTATCTGAAACCATGGATCATACGAACAGGACAGCGAGTGTCAGAAGCGCCTCTCTGGCTGGTCCCTCTTGCCTTTCCCTTTACCTGGCTGGCGTAGATGGGCGTGATGATGTGGACCTGTATCTCGATGTTGTTCTTGGGCTCGAGGACGCCATTCTCGTCCAGGCGGGGCCGCGTCTCGCACTTGATCTGGTTGGGCGTGTGGTCGTACTCGACGATGTCACATGGAGTCGTTCCTACCACAGATCCCCCACACCACCAGGCGTTTGCAGCCAACTGGTCGGCCCGGCGTTTGTGTGTTCACCGATGTAGACGACGGTCGAGGTTGACTCGAGAGCGTCGCGCGACTCGGGCGTCAGCTCGTTGCCCTCTATCCACACTGAACCAACCACAACAGACGACACACTTCACAGAGGGCTCACGGTCTGTCTATCCACTCATCTCACGGAAAGATCCGCCCATCAAGGAGCCCTTCCGGGGACGCACACTGGTGACCTGCGCGATGCACACGCGCACACAAAGGATAAAGCCGTGACCCACCGAGCAGAGAGCCGAACGTCCATACGATGTGCAGATCTATGCAGCCTGCGGTGTGCGTGTTCCTTACGGTGGTTTTTGCTGGCTGAGCATAGCTCCATGGAACGAGCAGTGCCAAGATCAACAACACAGACCTGTAACGCCCCATCTTCGCCTCAATAACCTATCGCTATCCACAAACGTTGCCGGATCCTTGGGTATGGAAGATGGATGTGGGGGACGGTGAAGAAGCTCCCTCGTCACTATGTTCACCTGTCGTAGCAAGCCCGGCCACCCCCGGCGTGTGTTCGAACGAGATCTCTCGCGCCCCTCCCAGCTCGCATGGGCCCCCGCCCGCCCCCCAAGTCTTTTGGAAGACCACAATGAGGCTGTGGAACCTTGGCGTTGCCGCATTCGATATCGTCCCGCTCGTATTGTTATGCGTCGGTACGCAGCTTCTCACAAATCACTCTGCACTTCGCTGCGAACGTGTCTGTTGCGATGCAGCGTTGAAGTCGGACGAATGGCTACGTCAACATGAGTTTGGCTACGTCATGGACTCTAAATTTGCCTCGGGCTTCCTCGCATCGGGCGTCGTGCTCCTCCTCATGTCAATCTGCTGCAAGTGAGTACACGTGAGGGTTAGCTCCTTCACAGCTTTCATGCAGACACATTCATGGATTCGAATTCCGCGTCTGCATGACTTCCTGCCTGCAGCGTCTACACGTCATACACCGAAGGTGGGCTGACTGCACACTCCGGGCTGGACATTCATCCATCATTCATTTCTCTGTCTCTTTCTCTTCACCCTCCGCGCCGGGCGCAAAGATATGCGGGTTGTGGCGCTGTCCTTTGCCGGCGCAATTTTCCATCTCTGCGTCTCATTGGTGATGTTCCTTGCGACTGCCACATTCTTTTCCCTCGGCCTGATCATCACATGGTTTATCCCATGTCTTCCGCAACACTGGGACCTTCCTGAATTCTACCACACCGTCGTCACCTCCGGCTTCTTTTGTACGGCACACGGAGGAATAGAAGAGGCCGCCGGGGCGAGAATCGACCTGCAGCGTCTAGCTCAGCCCGATGCAGACGATGTGCCTGATGTAGATACAAAAGGGAAATCTAGCGGCGGTACAACAGAGAGACCAAGAAGGATGCACTTATTCGTGGGAGTGTGTATTCAGAGGCAGCCGGGGCGGCCGCTATTGCAAGTATATACATAGTATTGTATCTCATCGGCAAATTCCTTGCTTGGGTCTATCACCTCGACTGGACGCAACCCGCGCTTCTCCTCGTCCGGCCATGCAAGTGGCTGGCAAACGTCTTCTTCGTCACAGGTAGGCAAGGCGTGGATAATCATAAATGTGTCTCATGGTGTGTCTCCCACAGGTTTCATATTCTGGCTGGTGTTTGCGGCCGCCGAGGTCAAGACGGATGGAGGGCCATCCAAGATCGAAATGGGCGAGGCCAGCAGAATAGGTGAGTGCATACTGAGCAGAACGATTACACGATGTGCGATTGTGTGCATCGATGACTACAGCGGTGGCGGGTATTGCTCTGACCATGGCCTCATTGGCAGTCGAGTATTGGCAGCTGAGAAGCAAGGGCAAACCCGTCATTGACGTCAGTAAGCTGGATGAAGAAGTGCTTGACCAGTCAGCCAACGAGTGAGCTCAAGTGAGACCGAGGGAGGACAAGGAAAAAGGAGGGAGGGAGTCTGCGTGTAGGTTGGTAGAAGTAATTGCTCGTCTGCTTTTGTTTCTGTAAGACTGAGTGAGCAAGAGACGTCTGTGGACTAAGGACCGCCATATGTCATATCCGCTTCACTGAGTCTTTCTCCACAGTGATGTATGTGCGATATCCTTAGCTGCTCGTTCAGCCTATCAGATATCCGAACCATCATCTGATAGAGCGAACAGTTTGATGAAGGTTCCGGCAGTCAGGTGTCCGGCCCTTCAGGTCGTTGCCTTTCCCCCCGTACACAGACCACTAGGTCACACACGTCCTTTACCTCTCCCCCTTGACACACAAAGCCAAAAACACATTTCTGAACGTCCGCTGCATCTGGCCCCCAGCACGCAGGCCACCACGTCACACGCGTCTTTCTCTCTTCCATACCCCCCTTAACACACACGACCCATCGAAGGCACACTTTGAAAGACAAGAGAACAAACTGCCGATCAATTCCCGATTGCCTCCTGGACGGCAATGGACGATTCAAGCACCTCCTCGCGCCACAGCGCCATAGCTACCCAGAAGAAGACGATCAAGACTCCAAACACTGACACCAGCGATGCGCAGAAGAAAAAACTCCTCATCTGCATACCCACACAAAGACAAATACATACATACAGCACCAACACATGCCCATCGCTGCCGCAAACACACATGTGCGGCCGGATACGTGCCCAGGTCCTCTCTGCTCTTGTCGTACCCTCTCCAGTCCTTTGCGCTTTTCTTCGTCCTTCTCGTGGCGAAGACGAATGTACGTATACAAAAGCCCTATATGAGACACACACAACAACGGACGGACACACGCATGCGTCGGTATGTCTGATGTCACTGCTATGTGTTGGCAGCGAACCAGGGATGTCACAGCAGCAGGCCGCAAGGGGCAGAATGCAGCGAGCGCAGCCGCGCGACCAGCCATACAAGCACTTCAGACTGCAGGCAAACCACACTCAAAGACAAGCGAATCGACATTTGTGCCTCAGTGTAGGGGTTGTGTACATACATGCGACCGCCGTCAACGCCAGGGGGGAGAACGCACAGCTCTCTCCTAAATTGGCCACTGCGTGAGGCGCGGAGGATGGGGCCAACGATGCCGAGGAAGAAGACGGCACCGACGGTGATGTAGATGATGCCGACAATGCACAAGGCCCTCTAAAACCACACCCCAAGGCCCAAGACGTACATATCGACGGCAAAACACTCACTTACCCATCCACTTACCTCGTACGGCCCTGAGACGTAGGGCAGGTAGAGGAGGCCGATGAAGGGCACCGTCACCAGGAACGCAATCATGTATGCCCAGGCGACGCAGACAAAGATTCGATGGGGCACCGAGTCGCCCTGTAGTGCTTTCTTCTGCCCGCAACAATGCACAGCAGAAGAAGAGATCTCCACGGCTGTCTGGTTCTTACAATCGCAATTTGTAGGCGGTAAGCTCGGAGAAGCAAAGAGATCTGGAGACCCTCTCAGAGCCAAAATGAAAGAGACATACGTGTATTGTCAGTGCCTGTTGCACCTCGAAAACCCAGGAACGTGACAGTCCAGGGCTGGAGAAGAACTCCGCAAAGAACTCGAGCATCACCTTTTCCTGATCGACGGCACAGACGGACAGAGAAAAAAGTCAGCTCTTTGTCTGTCTCGAGAGGTGAGGCACCTGATCGCCATGGAATTCCTTAAGCGCGCCGTCTACATCGTGCACCCATTAAGAATGGGGAAGCATGATTCCACACTAATTTTTCCACGCATACTTACTGAGGCTGTTGACCAGCTCGGACGCAAACCAGATGCTGATGGTGAGCGCACTAACCGACAGAGACACAGAGCATGCATTCATGAAGCTGAGCTGCTCGTCTCGTTTCGCGTGCGTACATGTCGAAGGCAGCCGAGCGGAAGGGCGACTCGTCGTCGAAGGGCACATACAGCAGCGGCAGCACCGACGTGACTGTAGTGAATATGACGGTCACCTTCACACCCGTCGGCCAACGGTACCGGTTAGAGGATTCTGTTGCCCGCTTCTTGGCTTCATCCACACGCAGTCTCCACACCAAGCAGATCAGCAATACGAGGGGAAGCGTAACCGTACCATCCCGCTGCTGAACTTCTCGTGCCAGGCCTTCTTGAGCTGTAGGCTGCTGCACTGTGTCTCCTCCTCTCTGGTCCTTGGAGCCGTCGGCGTCCCTGTCCTGGGCTCCCGCCGTATCGGCTTGCGCCTTCTCCTTTTCTTCCTTTTCCTTCTTGTCTCTGGCCAGCCTCTCCTCGACTGCAAGTTAAATGTGTGTGAGACAAGGACGGAGCATAGCTACTTGATATGTGACATATCTGTTTCAATGTGGTATTCTCGCTTAGCGTTGATCGTCACCAGAAATTCCAGGAGTCCGACTGATCCGAGAATACGCAACAGGTCCAGGACAGCCTCTTTCGGTCGTGAGTCTTCCTCCATCTGTTGCTGCGCCGTCTTTGTTGTTTTGTCCGCCCTTTTCTTGGCCCCTCCTGCTTGCTTGTCCCCCTGCCCCTTTTTGTCTTTTTGTCTATTTCGCCCGGTCAGCTTCGCATCCTCTCCCGGCATTCCGCTTATGTGTCCTGCTGCTGTTTTGGTTGCTGGCTCTTCCTTGATGTCGTCTTTGTCTTCATCTTGTTGGTGAACACGAATGTCGCTCAGTCCAACGCCGCAAGACTCGTCTTCACGGCGTTCAACGTCTTCACGGTCTCCAATTTGCTCCCCTTCTGGCGCTCCGCTTCCGCCTGCTTCGGCAGGTGGGGCCTTGGATTGCTCTTGGCTGTCTTTCTTTTCCGGTCGTGTATCTTTCATGCACTGCGACGAGCAGCGAAAGTAGTTCTTCAGGGGAAGCCAAATCGCAAGGGATTGAATGGCCAATGCCGCGCCGAAGAAAATTGAGTGATATCCGACACCCGCCGAACCAAAAGCCCTGCATTCATCGACGTAATCACACTCTGCATTGTGTGCATTGGGCGGTGCGAGTATCTTACGTGAGCCCAAAGAGGAGACCGAATTGCGAGAGTTCCATGAAGGTGAGCCAAGCCTTCTTTCTATTCTCGCCAATCCAGGCACGGCAGCCGGCAAGCATGCGTCTGCATGAAAGCTTCCCCTCGTCCTCCTCAAGGAGATCCTCAATGATGCCGCTGGCCAGGGCGTGGACAAAGAAGACGGCAAAGAGACCCAATGTGTGCCACACGTCACCCTCATCCACAACGAGAATGGCCCATATGTCCTGCAGGGTGTGATGTAATGCGATTGACCGCACTGCAGGGTGTGATGTCACTTTCCTCTTTCTCACCTCTGCCAACGTCAAAGCACTGATGAACAGCCCGATGTTAAATTCTGCGTTGCACCACTCCATGTGCAAACCAGGCAGAACGACAGCGGCCAAAAAGACGAAGAGGAGCATGGCGCCGACGATGCAGAGGATCACAATCGACAGGATCATGTCAAAGTCGAAGCCGCACTTAGGGCAGATCAGCTGGAACCAAGTGGGCTTGGGCTCTGGCGGGGGCGGGGGCGGCTCCTGGTCGGCTTCGTAGCTGTCAAGGATAAAAGTCTCGTTCTCGATTGAGCCCATGGCATTGGGCATGTTAAGGATAGTGACTACCAATACGATGGAACAGAAAACACTCTCACTCATCGACGCAGTCGACACCTGAGATTATTCACCTGAGATGTTGGCAGTGATGTTGATCATTACGGTGGCTTCGCGGTATCTCCACGGATTATGGTCGTCATCTTTGGTGAACCGATAAGAAATATTTCTTCTCAGCTTGGAAAATCCATTGATCTCAGGGAACGCTGAGAGATCTATTATATCCCAGGCAAAGTTGACGAGGTGGACACGGCCGGAAATCTTGGAAAGCACGCTGTACACCAATAAGAAACACGTATAGGGAAAAAAAGAAGGACCTTCACTTACAATGTGTCAGCGTAATTGGACCCGTCCTCGAGCACTGAGACACAAAAAAAGCACGACATCCAGCAATTGAATCAACTGAATCAGTCTGCGCACCCACCATCATCACCACCTCCACTGACGAAGGTATCACCGCCCCCACCTCCATAGAGGACATTGGCCTCTGAGTTCCCCATCAGAACGTCCCCACCTGTTGTCGAGCCCGTCAGCGCGTCGATCAATGTGTCTTCGGGGAGGGTCATAACTTTTGGATACTGCGACTGTGAGCAGCTGATCTCATTAGCCGACTCGAGAGAGACTGTGCAGTTTGCGGCCGCATCAAAGGGGTCGGAATCGTTCACCTTCTCAATCGCCACTTGATTGGTGTTTATGAGGGATGAAAGATCCTGCCCAATCCAAAAGTTCCGCGGCAGGAGCTGAGTAGGTTTGATATGGCGCATCTCGATTGTGTGCTCTTGGTCCAGGGCGATCTCTGTGATGGGAATGTCGCCATCGGCTTTCTCGGTCATGAGAGACATGATTGAGCTGGGTGTGTTGACGTCTGGAAATGCCCTAAGGTCCAAGATGTCAGGATAGAATCCCCTCCACCCGTAGCGTTCAGTTGAGTTCAGCCATAGGTCGGGGCTGAATTCGCTAATTTCGAGGTGGCTGGTCGTGCCCGGCGTGCGTAAGAAGACAAAGGTGTCACGCGATACAGAACCATATCGCCGTTCTTCGTCATTGCCTCCAAACAGGTGGTGTCTTCCGCCGGCTGCTTGTATGTAATCCGGGTCTGTGCCTCCTTTGATAATGCAGCTGACGCAGTCAGAGTGGAAGGACCTCAAGTCGTTGTAGCCCGTTCCTCGATAGCCACTTGCCTTGAGTACCGTCAAAGCTCCTAGGCCTTCGATCCAGATGTTTGGGAGGTATGTGTGAATGACATCCGCATAGTCCGTGCCGATCACTTTTGCGATGGTGCTGTTTGCGTGGACGATAATGCGCTTCCCATTCTTAGCGGATGAACAGTCCAGCACCAAGACTTGTCCGGGCGGTGGGGACCAGTCCGTAGGGACTGCCGTAGTAGAGACAGCAGCTGTAGTGGACACGTCATTTGTGGTGGGCTCCTCTGTCGACGAACTACTGCTACTGCTGGACCCTGAAGAGCAAATATAAGAAAAGCCAATGAGACATGCGCAAGCTTTATTGCGTGTGCAGCACACTCACCATCGTCTGACGTAGTCGGCTCTTCTGTTGTTGTGACCGAAGGTGCGCCAGTGGGCGATGAATCTTCATATTGTAGCTCACAGCCTTCCGTGCCGTCGTCCCCGAGCACTAAGTCAGAGATGTCCTCAAGTTCCAGTGTCCTATCAATGATCATCATCACTAGCTCGGATGCTGAGAGGCAATTGAGAGACGGATCATGCCAGAGGATTCCGTTGCACATGAATGTGTCACGTACGCAGAGATCCAAATCTGAATCTGAACTTTGCCCGAGCGAGCTCGTTCGGTAGCACGTCCTTGATGCAAAGCCAGTCGGCATTATCGAGCTGCATCGTGGTGTCTGTGAGATTATCCGTAAGAAGGGGCTCAACAGCAGACCACTGGAAGAGTGCATAGAAGGCCCCGACGTCGATGAAGTCTCCGGAAGCGGGCATCATGTCATATATTGTGTTAAATGACCCGTTCACGCTGCGGGCTGGTATAAACTTATCTGTCTCACTATCGTTGCCGCCGACGAGGACATTCTGCGGTCCTCCAGACGGGTAAAGCCAATCGGCTCCTTCCCCACCGTCGAGTTGGCACCGAAGGTGGTACGACAGCTTGCAATAGAGAGAGTCGGTTCCGTTGAGTCCATCCAATCGAATGTCCGAGACATAAGTGAGTACATCAAATCACACATTCTTTGCTTATCCGTCGGTTCTTGATAGTCTGTCTTGCCTTCTGATTTCGTCGTTAAAGTTGGTCCCTTGCACTCTGTTGATTGGGCACTTCCTACCTTGGTAATCAGTCTCCCTCATGTTATATCCCGGCCTCCGGTGGATGCGAGGGAGCAATTCAAGGTGAGTTTGTCGGGTTCATCTCCCTCATCCACGACGCAGCCCTCCAATCGATCACCCTCGACTCCATAATCATTCTCAATATCCACACATTTATTATAGAGCAGGTCCGCAAGAGAAACATTTGCTGCTGAGGCACAGCATTGAAAGCAAACACATCACACATGTGCTTCTGAATCACATCCATGATGATATGTCGCTTACACGACGTGAGAAGGCGGATGCTGCTCGAATCGTTGACAGGTGCCTTGGCATTGCCAGATGGATGGATTGCAAAGTAGGAAAGGCACAGGATAAGACACTGCAAGACCAAAGACCAGAAGAGGCCGGCCATGCTGCCCCCTCCCGCAGCTCGCATAGGCCCCCGCCCGCCCCCCAGTCTCTCCCGCGGCGCCCGTCGCCGGGAGGCCGTGGAACCTCGGCGTTGCCGCACTCGATATCGTCCCGCTCGTATTCTTGTACGTCGGTATGCAAGAATCGAGCGGGACGGCATCTGAATGCCATCAATGTGTGCGTTGTGTGCAGCGCTGGAGTCCGAGAAATGGGCGCTTTCTGAGCTGGGCTCCGTCAGGGATTCAACCTTGGAGTGTCGGAGACGGGGGGAGGGGGCGAGTTGCTAAAGCTCGCGTACTTGACAGAAGAAGATCTGAACACGATGATACGGCCGCAGGCTGCTCCTGTAGTCGTGCTGCGGCAGAACACCAAACGCGAGCAGGGACGGAAGGCCCAGCTGGCGAACATACAGGCAAGCGACGCCCAGCTGCATGCCGTTGGATAGATCTGCACACGCACATGACCCTTGCTGTGTGTACGTCAGGCTGGCAAGACGATAGCTGACATTGTGCGTACGACACTCGGCCCGAAGTCGATGCTCAAGATGCTTCTGGACCCCATGGGCGGCATCGTCATGACCAACGACGAGAGCGCCATGCTCAGAGAGGTACGGGTGGCACACGCAAAGATGCGTAGATGCCGCACTCGTCATTGCCTTTCTCTGTTGCGGTGTGATTTGCAGGTTGACGTGGCTCACCCCGCCGCCAAGTCGATGATAGAGCTGAGCCGCTCGCAGGACGAGGAAGTGGGAGACGGAACGACCTCAGTGGTCGTCCTCGCCGGTACGCATATATACATCCACACACCCACTCATGTGCCCATAAGTGACGCCCATACGGTGGTGGTGGTGGTGCGCGCATGTGTCGTTGTTCAGGCGAGATTTTGGCTGTGGCCGAGCACTTTTTGGGTCGCAACATGCACCCCACAATCATCGTGGCGGGATACATCCAGGTCACCAGACGGACGACGGGATTGTAAGACTCGTTTCGACACATCGTGGCCATCTCATTGCCTTGCTGTGTGTCAGGCTTTGGATGACGCGTTGAAGATCCTCAGCGAGATCGCCACGCCCATCGATGCTTCCGACGACAAGCGATTCACCGAGATCGTCCACACATGTACACACCCACACAACCACACAACCACATCCACACATTCGCGAGACCGACACGCGACTGGGTCTGTGTGCCGTTGTGTGGGTCAGGCATCGACACTAAGTTTTCCGCCCGTTGGGGCAACATGATCAGCGACTTGGCTGTCAAGGCCGCCAAGTGCGTCACGATCGAGCTGCCTAATGGCAAGAGGGAAATCGACATCAAGGTGAAGCAGCCAGCAGCCGTTCGGTGATTGAGGGAGCTGCGGAATCAAGCGACGGACGGAGCTGACCCTTTCAGATAGATACCTTCAGCGTGTATCGAGTGCCTGCACCTACCGGCCTGGCCGAGCGGCAGCTCTGCATGCATCAAGCGAGCATCAGGCGGAATAGCACAACGAGGTCTGGTGGAGAGATGGGTGCTCACCACTATGGCAAGGCAGCCGGCTGAAGGGCAGAATGGATGGATGGATGGATGGATGGGATGGAGTAGGGAGAGGAGCGCAACACACGGACGGACGGCTTGATTGATTGAGACAGGCCGAGTTGACTGAGCTGCGTGGAGCGAGTGACTGACCGTCAGCCCGGCGGCAAGTTCGGTCATGGCCAACAACGGCCGTCTGCACGGCCCTGACAAGCAGACAGAGATGGACGGTTAGCTAGTTACCTACGAGTGGCAGTGGGTGGGCGAGTGGAGGAGAATTACTGAGGCATAGAGTTGTGGTGGAAATGGCTGGCTGCAGTCCTATGTAGGGCGAGGGCAAGACCAGCACAGGAATGATATTACTGGGTGATTGTGCGTACGGATGGTGTGCCTGTGTGCTGTCCGGTGGTCATGATGATGGGTGCGTGGTTTATATGTAGTTTGTGTGTATGTATAGGACGTGGGTAGGAAGAGGTGTGTGTGTGTGTGTGTGTTAGAAAGGTTGAGCATGACGAGAAGCTTGCGTCCATTGCACGCAGAGTGACCTAACACGCCAATGGACACAGAAATGCGCCAAGATGGCTCCATTCACATCAACCTCACCTACCGTCCACTGCAAGACACACACACACAGACACACAAGCAGGAATGAACGCCGTGCACTCGTCCCTCGCCTATCCCCTCGTTCGATGAGGAAGTCAGTGTTGGCCTGCTGCAACTCCTCGCTCCACCGCAGGATACACACACACACACACACACACAGAGAGAGAGAGAGAGACAGAGAGAGAGACACAGACACACACAGGGGAGAGACAGAGAGAGTAAGGACGGGCAGCATTGCATGTATAGTCAATTGTCGTGTGGGTCTGTCTCCCTCCTCTCGTTCATTAGTTGCTCTCTCTCTCTCTCTCTGTGTGTGTGTGTGTGTGTATGTGTGTGCGTCAATTGGCGTGCGTGCGTGTATGTCTGTCTGTCTGTGTGTGCCAGTGCCAGGCGGGTATCGCCCTTGTTCTGCAGTGCCGACCGACACCTTGCTCATGACCGCGATGGTGTTGCGGCACCTTTCCCCCAGCAGGATGACAACTAGGACCTTCCGTCGGCTCCTCCAAATTTTCCTTACCAGCACCAAATCTTCCTTACGGGGGTTGCACACCGTCTCGTCAATCGACAGGATCAAGCAGCCCGCCTGGAAACACGGACGTGTATGGTGGGTGTGGGGAAATGGGTGTGTGAGTGTGGGGGGGTTGGTGTGAGGATAGACCTGAGTTTCGCTTTTTCTTGACCATAGGCCTCAGTTTCATATGTGGCTCTCGTATGTGTCACAGATGCCGCCACCAGCGGTTCTCGGCTGAGAGCCACACACACACCTTGACACACACACACACAGGGAGACATGCATGTTCGTGTCAACTCGCCCGAATACCTCCCCATTGTGTGCGTGTATGTCTGCACACGTACGTTTGGCCTGAGCGTGCCTTTGTCGCAGCATGTTGAGCAGATCGGTGGCGTCCAAAGCTACCTGATACGAAAACACAAGACAGCATACGAGGTGGCGGTGCTGTGCGGGCTGTGCAGGTTGTGCGGATCCAGCGGCTTACCGTCATCAAGGAAGTCTTTGTCTCCATCACGACGGTAAGAGAATATCATCAACGAAATCTCTCTCGGTAGCTCGCATGGGCCCCCGTCAATTGCCCCCAGTCTCCCGATTCGCCGGCCTTTCCCTCACCATGAGGCCGTGGCACCTTGCCGTTGCCGCACTCGATATCGTCCCGCTCGTATTTTTATGTGTCGGTACGCAACTTCTTCTTCTGGCGCTCCCATCAACGTGTGGGTTGTGTGCAGCGCTGGAGTCGGAGAAATGGGTGCTTTCGGGAGTCGGGTCCGTAGTGGATTCACCATTGTCCTTTTCCTTCTTCGTCGCTGGCATTGTTTGCCTCGGAGTATCCGTGTGCGGCAAGTGAGTGCCAGCAATCTTCAGTAGGGCATCGTGTATGGCATTCTTCTCCGCATGTAGCCTCCTCATGTCATATTACGTCGAGGACCTCCGCATCGTGCTGCTGTCACTTGTCGGTGCAATCTTCCACTGCGCCGTTGTGCTGATGGTGTCTCCTATAATTGTCTCCTGGCGGATAGCGCATTGTTTTCTGGCGGGTGGTACGTGCCCGGATGAGGGAGAGTCGCCCTTCTTTGTCAAACTCACCACGCCAGCCAAGTGGATTGCCTTCTTTCTTCTCCTCATAGGTAAACCAGTTGTCACGAATGCTATCGATCCCTCTGTGTACCCGTGATGTTTGCATACAGGCTATGGCTACTGGTTGGGGGCGAACTTCTTGGATGAAGGCAGGCTCGAATTTGAGGAGGCCGGCATCCTAGGTGGGCAGATAGATAGGTGCTTGTGTGTATACACATCTGCACGACTGCATGTCTACAGCGACGGTTGGTATTGGTCTCATTATCCCTTCACTGGCCATTGAGCATGTGAGGCTGTGTCTCAAGGGCTTTCCCACCAAGGACGTTCAACAGCTCGGTGAAGATATAGTAGCAAGTATTCCAGCTAGAGTGTAAGACCGGAGGAATGCAGAGTGCTCTGCATGTTATTCATCGGCAAATTGAATGGCCTTTCCGACTGAGTGAAGAATAGACAACGGATTGGCTTGTACCCAGCCCAATAGCATTAGTCGCAGACACCCTCATACAGAAAGGCCACTAAGGAAAACGGACTAAATGATGTACAAACACCAAAGTGTCCGACTGCACTGCCGTGTCGTTTTGAACAGACTGAAAAACTATCAGTCTCCGACTATCTGCTCGACGGCAATGGACGATTCAACTATCACGTCTCGCCACAATAACATGGCCAACCACAAGAGGAGGATCAAGGCTGCAATCACTGATATCAGCGACGCGCAGAAGAAAAAACCCTTCATCTGCACGATACGTGCGTAGCTGAATGAACACACATACAATTGAAGCACATTCGTGTTTGCTGACCTTTTCGAGGCCTTTGTGCTTTTCTTCATCCTTCTCGCGACGCAGGCGAAGGAATGTGTACAGAAGCCCTGCACCGAAACAGTTGCACGGCCCATCAGCACACACACACACACACACACACAAAACTGAAGAAGTCTGACAGTGGGTCCTTTTGATCTCGGGAACGCACCCGGAACGTCACAGCAGAGAGCTGCTACGGGCAGAATGATACGAGCCCAGATTTCCGAGCACGCATACAGGCACATGAGGCTGCAAAACATATGCGAAGGGATGGGCTGTATGTCTGGCACTGTCTGCTGTGTTCATGTGCGCATACATTGGATCAAAGGGAACACCATCGGAGGGAAGACAAATATCGGGCTGGCTGCAGAGGTCTGCATTGGGTCTGAATTTGTCCATATAACGTTTGTCCAGACGTGAGGCTCGAAGGACGGGGCCAACGATGCCGAGGAAGACAACACTGCCGACGGTGATGTAGATGAGGCCAACGATGCACAGGGCCCTCTCATACCTGCGGAGCATTCATGTCGCAAGACATCTTGAAATTTCTGTCTACTTCTATCCATACATACGGCCTGGTTGCAGAGGGCAGGTAGAGGAGGCCGATTAAGGGCACCGTCAGCAGGAACAAGGTCATGTATGCCCAGGCGACGGAGACAAAGATTCGATGGGGCACCGAATCGCCCTCCAAAGCCTTCTTCTGCGGAGGGGACAACAACACGGATAATATGCACATAGGAGAGACATGCCTGCCATCTGTACTCACGATTGCCTTTTGGAATCGGAGTGATCGAAGGAGCACTGAAATCTGGAGACACTCTCGGAGAGAGACATATGTGCATTGACCATTCATCACTGTTCTTGCACCTCGGGAATCCCGGTATCTCTGAGCGATTGTTGGCGAAAGAATTCCATAAAGATTCCGAGCATCACTTTTTCCTGAGACAAAAAAATCAGCTCCTTGTGTGTCTCGACTCGTCAGGTACCTTATCGCCATGGAACTCCTCGAGTGAATTGTTGAGACTGCCGACTGCCACACAAGACACCACGATGTCGTGTCTCCCTTCAACGTGTCTCCCTTCAACGCGTGCGCGCATTTGCGTGTCTCGCTCACCCATGTCTGATGCGAATCAGATGCTGATGGTGAAGGCACTGATCGACAGATGCAGAGTGCTGTGCTCCTTGCCCATTGCTCATGATGCGTGTGAAAAAAAGTATGCATACATGTCAAAGCCAGTGGATCGGAAGGGGGACTCATCGTTGAAGAACACATAGAGAAGCGGCAAGGCCGAAGTGACAATAGTGAACACAGCGGTCACCAGCACACCCGTCGGCCACCGGTAACGTTTAGAAGATTCGTTTGCCATCTTTTCAGCGTCATCTTCACGTAGCCTCCACACCTCATCAATCAGTCGACGAACAGTAAAATTGGCCGATTGCTCAGCGCCGCTCGAAGCATCCAGCTCCCGTTCTTCCTCTTTCTTCTTGTCGCTAGCCTCCTTCTCCCCATCTGTAAGTGAAGATTGCTCCGCACCGTGTCTAGCTCTCGAGGCATCGCGCTGGTTCTTATTCTTCTTGTCTCTGGCCTTCTTCTCCTTGGCTGCAGTTTAAATAGTGTGGGAAAGGTCGACGGAGCATTGATTGTCGATATGCACTGGCATACCCGTTTCCAGCTGGTATTCTACTCGTCGAAGCTTCTCGTCCTTGTCTTTCACTCTGTTGATCGTCACGAGCAAATCCAAGACTGGGCCTCGTTCTAAAACACGGAACAGCATCTCTTTTGCGCCTTCCGGCTGCTTGTCTTTCTCCTCCTTCTCTGCCGTCTTTGTCGTTTGCCCCTCTTTCTCCTCAGCTCCTCCTACTGTCCTCTTGAAGATGTTGCTCAGCGCAGTGCTCTTTCTCGCCGACCCGACTTCTTGTCCTGCGGCCGCTTTGGCTTGGGGTTTCTCCTCCTTCTCACTGTCCTTTCCGCGTCTTGCCGCTTGTGCACGGCCGAAGCAGATCAGTAGCACCGACCGCCAAATCGCAAGGACCTGCACGTCCTGATTCTTGCCTTTCGTGCACTGCGACATGCAGCTAAAGTAGTCTTTGAGAGGCAACCAAATCGCGAGGACCTGCACGGAGACTGCCGCCAGGAAGAAGATAGAGTGAGACCCAAAGCCAGCCGAGCCGAAGAGTCTACATGAGCCAATGAGTCCATTCATGTGTGATTTGAGGGTGCGCATCGAAGAACACAAGTATCTTACGTGAGTCCAAACAGGAGACCGAACTGGGTGAGCTCCATGAGAGTAAGGAGAACCTTTTTCTTGTTATCGGACAACCAGGCGCAGCAGCCGGCGAAGAAGCAGTTGAGGGATATCTTGCCTGTGTCCTCCTCACAGAGATCCTCAATGACGCCGCTGACCAGAGCGTGAAGGGTGAAGATGGCAAAGAGACCCAATGTTCGCCAAATGTCACCCTGCAATGATCCCAAACATATGTGTAGACAAGAAATGACATTCTTTTCACGCCATGTACCTCATCGACTACAAGAATGGCCACTATGTCCTGCACGGTGCACATATGCAATGAGCTTGGTGACCGATGTTGTGTGTGTCTCTGTGTGTTTCTCCCTCGGTATCACCTCTGCCGGCGTCAAAAGACTTATGAGCAGGCCGATGTTGAACTCGCAGTCGCACCACTTCCACTTGTCGTTTGAGAGACATACAGTTGAACAGAAGAGGAAGAAGAGTAGAGCGCTAACGACGCACATGGCCAGAATTGACATAAAGATGAAGTCGATGCCGCACTCGCGTTGTTTGCCGATTGGCTCGAATGGATTGCAGACGGGCTTGGGCGGGGGCGGGGGTGGCTTGTAGAGGAAGAACATGTCACTTTTGAGATCACTCGGTGTCATGCCAAGGATAGTGACTGTTGGCAGCAACAGAACATCCGACCATCAGCTCAATCAGCTGCTTCATGAAAGCACCTTCGTTCACCTGTGTGGTTGGCGGCATGTTGATGATTACGCTGCCTTCGCTGACCATTGTCACCAGAGTCGTGAACTCGTTGATCTTCCGAAATGCAGAGAGATCGATTTTATCATGGAGTCGTCTGTTGGCAACGATGATATGGCCAGGAACGTTCGAAATCGCGCTGTATGCAGACACGCGCACGCGCACACCACACACAGAGCATGACTGATACGTATGTTTTTGCTTACAATGTGGATGCGCCATCGTATCCCCCCTCGAGCACTGCAAGTCAACAGAGACACGGCTTCAAGTCTGTCTCAGATTGAATTTGAAGCAGTGCATACACCTACCATCATCACCGCCTCCAGTGATAAGCATGTCTCGTCCGCTAGTCTCATTGAAATCGCCTCCTCCCCACCCTCTCAGTATGTTCCCCTTGGAATTCCCCGTCAGAATGTCCCCGCCTGCTCTCGAGCCGGTCAGCGCATCGATCACTGTGTCTTTGGGAAGGGACATGACTTTCGGATACTGCGACTGTGAGCAGCTGCTCTCATTCATCGATTCAAGCCGGACCACACAATTTGCATCCACATCATCAGGATCGTCGTCATTCACCTTCTCGATCACCACTGAGTTGGTTGCCATAAGCGATAGAACGTTCTGCCCCATCCAAAAGTTCCGCGGCAGGAGCCGAGCAGGTGTAATATTGCGGATCTCAATTGTGTGCTCGTCGTCGAGGGCGATCTCTGTGATGGGAATGTCGCCATCGGCCTTCTCGGTCATGCGAGACGTAATTGAGCTGGGTGTCTTGACGTCTGGAAATGCCCTAAGGTCCAAGATGTCAGGATAGAAGCCACTCTCAGCAGATGAATTCAGCCATAAATCGGGGCTGAATTCGCTAATTTCGAGGTGGCTGGTCGTGCCCGGCGTGCGTAAGAAGACAAAGGTGTCACGCGATACAGAACCAGATCGCCGTTCTTTGTCATTGCCTCCAGACAGGTAATGTCTCCCTCCGGCTGCTTGCATGTAATCCGGGTCTGTGCCTCCTTTGATGGTGCAGCTGACGCAGTCAGAGTGAAAGGACCTCAAGTCGTTGTAATAGGCTCCTTCTGACGCTTCGAGGCCTTCGATCCAGATCTTTGGGACGTGTGTGTGAATAACGTCCGCAAAATCCGTTCCGATCACTTTTGCGATGGTGCTGTTTGGGTGGATGATGATGCGCTTTCCATGATCTGATGCGGAGGAACAGTCCAGCACCACGACTTGTCCGGGCGGTGGGGACCAGTCCGTAGGGACTGCCGTAGTAGAGACAGCAGCTGTGGTTGGATTCCCTAATGAGACACATAGTCAAAGAGATGCAAAAGAGCTGCGACACAGACATTCACTCACCATCACCTCCAGCTGCAAGCTCTTGCAAAGCTGCCGGCAAGCTCGTCGTAGTCGGCTCTTCCGTAGTGATATCAGGAGTGGAGGCGAAAATCTGAGGTGCGCCAGTAGTCGGTGAGTCCTCAGATCGAAGCTCGCAGCCTTTCGTGCCATCCTCATTGAGGACAAAGTCAGAGATGTCCTCAAGTTCCAAAGTCTTATCGATAATCATCATCACTAGCTCGGATGCTGAGAGGCAATTGAGAGACGGATCATGCCAGAGGATTCCGTTGCATATTGATGTGTCAAGACGTACGGAGAGGTGCAAGGCTGAAGTTTGCTTCGGAGAGCTCGTTCGGCAGCACGCTTTTGATGCAAAGCAAGTTGTCTTCACCGAGCTGCATCGTGGTGTCTGTGGCATCTTCAGTCAGAAGAGACTCAACAGCAGACCATTCGAAGAAAGCGTAGAAGGCAGAGACGCTGATCACGTCGCCGGAGACAGGCGTCATGTCCATGGTTGTGGAAGACGTCGTGTTGCCGCTGCGTCTCAGGTAAAAGGTATCGGCGTTAGTGTCGTTGCCGCCGAAGAGAACATTGTGCGGGCCTCCAGAAGGATAGAGGCTGTCAGCTCCTTCCCCACCATCGAGTTGACACCGGACGTGATATGATAGCATGCACCGAAGAGAGTCGCTTCCATCGAGTCCCTCCAGCTGGGTATCCGAGACATAGCTGAGTACATCAAATCATGCATTCTTAGTTATCATCAGTCGGCTCTTTTTGGCCTGTCTCTTGCCTGGTATCTCGTCGTCAAAGTTGGTCCCCTGCACTCTGTTGATTGGGCAGCCCTCCCAAATCGTTATGCGCCTGCCGCCGGTCGATGCGAGAGAGCAATTCAAGGTGAGTTTGTCAATTCCATCTCCCTCCTCCAAGACGCAGCCCTCCAAAGGATGTCCCTCTGATCTATCGTTAATTGCCACCGTCAGATTTCCATTCGGTAACAGTATCAGAAGAGAATCGTTGGCCGCTGAGACACAGCAATATAAGATAGCGCATCATATGTGTCTTGCTGTTGCTTACACCACTGGGGGGCCCAATCGCTGCTGCCGAAGACTACGTATGCACCCATGGCGGCATCGTCGTCGCCCGACACGAAAGCGTTTTTCATGGAATTGGTAGAGATGATGATATCAGAGACACCATCCCCTGCAGCCACACAGGGGAACTAATCAATGCACGGCAGTGGCTTAATGACGCTGGTCTCCTTTGCTGACCGTTGAAGTCGCCTCGACCGATTGGGTTGCCGAGATAGGAGCCTGATGGCCGTTGCGTGTTCTCAATTTTGACTCCCCGATAGATATCCATTGCCTCTGGATCGAATGACTCCCCAAAAATATTGCCGCAGCACCCAAAGGTCATATTAGCTCTTCCCCAGATGCCGCAGCATCCGTGGATTACATAAACTCTCCCTCTGGTACTGTCATACCTCGAATCAGACACCAAGAGGTCAGGGATTGTATCGCCGTTGAAGTCGCCGGCATCGATGATGCCAATCCAATCAGACATGTTTCCTCCCGGTCGAATCTCCGTCCCAAATGTCTCAGCGTCGCTCCAGTGGATGTCCCTCAGATAGCTGAAGTCGGTCACGCCGTCACCTGTAACATCACTAATGGCCCCGACGCGAATATCTTGCCGGAATTGGGGGCTTAAGGCAGAAGATCCTCCTTGTGCCGAAGTGACATTGTTCAGGTCCGCACATTTGACATCGCTCTCGTTGATGTATTTGGAAAAGTCCTCATATGAGAGCCTCCAATGTTGCTTCTTCACGTAAGGCTCCCGAATGAGTATCTCGCTCTTGCCGTCCGAGTTGAGGTCTCCGATGGGCCAGCCGAATAGCGACACATGCGCGCGACGCGAGTCAGGATGTCTTATCATGTGTCTGGCATCGTACTTTTCCGCTCCTTCGAGATCAAAGGCGGAGCAGATCACATCAAAATGGGGCACTTGGCTGTCAGTCGAGTACAAGTCCAGGATGCCATTGAAGCTAGCCGGCAGATACGACATTGGTCCGCCTGAACATCCACAAGTGCAAGTGATGGCCTGACTTATACTATCGTCATGTCTCATCTATCGTACCATAAAGCACGACCACATTCATGTTATATCCACTCAGCACCACATCATTATAGCCATCCCCATTAATGTCGCCCCTGAACAAGGGTAGTGAGACAGCAATTTGTTTGTGTGTCTGTGTGTGTTCTCTCTCTCTCTCTCTCTCTTTCTTCTTCTGCTGACCCTTGGCTTGGCTGACAGTAGCGAGCGTCCGATTCGGGATTGTTATAGCGAATGCGAAAGCCATTCGTGCCGTCCATCGAGGCCAGATCGATATCGATCGCTGGCGCCCTTGCTTGCCATGTTCGGTCGCCGAAGACAACATAGCATTGCCACCTGATAGTTGCTGAACAGCGTCTTAAAATGATTGCTGCAGACTCATGTGCTTTCGCTCCCTCACTGTGCGAGTGGGCTCCGCCGATAGCGAAATCAGGTACCCCATCGCCTGCATGCAGAAAGAAATACAATGTGTATGGCCTTCATTCACAGACAGACGTAGCGATTACCGTTGAAGTCGCCCAGCCCTTTAAGGCTCCATCCAATGTTTTCTTCATCGCCATCAGGGGCGCGAGTAGAATCGAAGAAGCGGACACCTTCACTGAGGATCACAGAAGACAGACTCTCATACTTCTTTGCAGACAGCACGTTGCGACCATGCTTACGATCCGAGTGTATATTTTGGTGCACCAAACGGTTTATCTCCTTGCCGTCCAAAAATCAAGTAGACAACACCTCTCGTTTCTGCCGGGTACTTTTTGCCGGGGTCGGAGATGAGAATGTCATCGATGCCGTCATTATTCACGTCGCCAATGAAGTCTGCTATGCCCAACGAAGCCGTACTGTAAGAATATGAGGATCCTCCCGTTGCTCGACGGATGACGAACCCTCCTGAGCCGTCCAGGTCGTACACATCTATGGTGTTGGCCGGCTCTTCAAGACGCCGGACGCTGCTGGCATAATGATTGTCGACCAGGTTGTCGATGGCCTGAAATGGATGAATTGCAAGAAGGAAAAGAAGGACCAGCGAAGCCCAAAAGAGGCCGCCGACCAATGGCATGTTTCCTGATCATGAGGCACAGCATGAGAAGCAGACACACAACACATGTGCTTCACGTCCATGATCATGTGTTGCTCACACGACTTGAGGCGGCGATGCTGCTCGAATCGTTGGAAGCTGCGCAAGCACTGCCAGATGGATGGGCGAATCAGGCACGTATTGGGACAGCCGCGAGACTGGGGGCAGAGGGGGGCGAGTTGCCAAAGCTCGCGCACTTGACAGAAGAAGATCTGAACACGATGATACGGCCGCAGGCTGCTCCTGTGGTTGTGCTTCGGCAGAACACCAAACGCGAGCAGGGACGGAAGGCCCAGCTGGCGAACATACAGGCAAGCGTCGCCCAGCTGCATGCCGTTGAATAGACCTGCACATGCACATGCGCCTTGCTGTGTGTACGTCAGGCTGGCAAGACGATAGCTGACATTGTGCGCACGACCCTCGGCCCGAAGTCGATGCTCAAGATGCTTCTGGACCCCATGGGCGGCATCGTCATGACCAACGACGGCAACGCCATACTCAGGGAGGTACGGGTGGCCCCGACGCACGCAAAGACGCGTAGATGCCGCACATGTCATTGCCTTTGTCTGTTGCTGTGTGCTGTCTAGGTTGATGTGGCTCACCCCGCCGCCAAGTCGATGATAGAGCTGAGCCGCTCGCAGGACGAGGAAGTGGGAGACGGAACGACCTCAGTGGTCGTCCTCGCAGGTACGCAGATAGACATGCACACACGCATTCATGCGCCCACAAGTGATGCCCATACGGCGGTGGTGGTGGTGGTGTTGTGCAGGTGAGATGTTGGCTGTGGCCGAGCCCTTCCTCGAGCGCAACATGCACCCCACAATCATCGTGGCGGGCTACATACAGGTCAGCGGAGGAACGACGGAATTGTAAGACTCGTTTGGACACACTGCCGCCCTGTTGCCTTGGTGTGTGTCAGGCTTTGGATGACGCGTTGAAGATCCTCAGCGAGATCGCCACGCCCATCGATGCTTCCGACGACAAGCGACTCACCGAGATCGTCCACACATGTAAACACCCACACAACCACACAACCACATCCACACACTCGCCAGACCGACATGGATCTGGGTGTGTCTGCCGGTGTGTGTGTCAGGCATCGACACCAAGTTTTCCGCCCGTTGGGGCAACATGATCAGCGACTTGGCTGTCAAGGCCGCCAAGTGCGTCACGATCGAGCTGCCTAATGGCAAGAAGGAAATCGACATCAAGGTCGGCCAGCCAGCCAGCCAGCCACTTATCCAAACGGACATGAGCAACACACGCATGTCTTTGATTGATGCATCGATTGGTCAGCGTTACGCCAAGGTGGAGAAGATCCCCGGAGGCGACTTCGATGAATGCGGTCAGGGAGGGAGATAGAGAAGGCAGGCAGTCGTCACAACAGCTGCACTGACTGCTTTTGTGCGTGTTTGTCTGTTGTATGCATACAGCTGTGTTGAACGGTGTGATGTTAAACAAGGACGTAACGCACCCCAAGATGAGGCGCATCATCAAAAACCCAAAGGTGGGCACACATTGATCAATGAATGGATGGATGGATACTGGACGGCTTCCTGTGTCAGGTGGTACTGCTCGACTGCAATCTCGAGTACAAGAAGGGTACACACACCACCGGACAGACGGACGGACGCTTGGCGACACAATGCTCTCTCCTTGTGTGTGTGTGTGTGTGTGTGTGTGTTGTGGATTAGGTGAGAGTCAGACCAACGTGGAGGTCATGAAGGAGGAGGACTGGGAAGCGCTACTCAAGGAGGTCTGTCTGCATGCCGAGCACACACGCAGCCATCCTCGATGTCAATCTGTCTGTGTGCCGTCATGTCAGGAGGAGGAGGAGATTCAGAAGATGTGCAACGACATCATCAATGTCGGGGCCGACCTCGTCTTCACCGAAAAGGGTACACATGAAAGACCGCGGCCATCCCGCCTCGTTGCTAGCACAATCTGTGTTGGGTGTGTTGTGTGTGTGTAGGTGTGTCGGACCTGGCGCAGCACTTTCTGATGAAGAAGAACATATCGGTCATCAGGCGAGTGCGCAAGACAGACAACAACAGACTCGCCAGAGTGGTCAGCACTAACACCCACCCACCCACACACACAGAGAGAGAGAAAGGTATGCATGAGGGTGATGTGGATGCAGACGGGTGCGCACATAGTGAATCGGACGGACGAGCTGACGGCCGACAACGTGGGCACTTTGGCGAGGCTGTTCAAGATCGACAAGATAGGCGACGAGTACTACTGCTACATCACCGAGTGCGACAACCCCAAGGCATGCACCATACTCATGAGGGGCGCATCCAAAGACGTACTCAACGAAATCGAAAGGTATCTCACACACTGAGAGAGGGAACGGCCATTTCCCGTGCCACGTATGTGCACACAAAGGCCTCTCTGTGTGTGTGTCTGTGTGTGTTTAGGAATTTGCAAGATGCGTTGAACGTCGCCCGCAACGTGTTGGTGGAGTCCAAGCTGCTGCCCGGGGGCGGCGCCACAGAGATGGAAATCGCCGCCAGGCTCAACGAAAAGGCGAAAAGTAAGCCTTCACATGAGATGCGCGAGGCGAAGAGTGTAGTGTGCACGCGCTGTGTTGTGCTATGGGTGTCTGCAGGCATAGAGGGCATCAAGCAGTGGCCATACAAAGCCGTGGCTGTGGGTCTCGAGGTACAGCAAGGCAGCGTCCACCGAACGAACACACGCGACACACGCATGTTGTCTACACAATCAGGTCATTCCCAGGACGCTCGCTCAGAACTGTGGGGCTGACGTCGGTGAGCCGACACACATGAGGGAGAGGAGGAGATGAACCCATCGGGTCTGTGTGTATGGTTGTGTCGCATGGATGCAGTTCGCACCATCACCGACCTGCGGTCCCGCCACGCCCTGGCCGGGGAGGGCAGGTTCTGGGGCATCGACGGAAACACTGGTAGGTCACACAGACAGACAGACAGCCGACCAGCGACCGAAACGCAGTGTATTTGGCCGTGACTGACTGGGTGTGTGTGTTACGATGTGTGTGTGTGTGCAGGCAAGGTTGTGAATGTGGAGCAGGCGGGTATCTGGGACGCATACGCCGTCAAGCAACAAGTCATCAAGACCGCCATCGAAGCGGTCAGTGAGAGCCACAACACCCACATAGCAGAGGAAGCTTAATTTCATGCAAGCTGAGATGAGAGTGCTGCTGCTTTGGTGTTGTGCATGAAGGCTGCGATGATCCTGCGTATCGACGACGTGGTGTCGGGCATCGGCAAGAAGGGCGGCGCGGGCGGCGGGGCGCCACGGGGAGGTATGCACACACATCATCAGCCACCCACCCGCACGCACACACACGTAATGCTGCTGTGCGGTGGTGTGTGTTGATCAATACAGGTGCGGCCCCCGATGACCAGGTTGAGGCGTTCGGAGACTCGCGGGACGGCTAGACCACATACACACACACACCTGCATGGATCCCACCCGGTAGCTAGGGAGTAGTTGCGTACACATCAGCCAATGCATTTCGTGTCCGTGTTCGGTGCGTCTTCCCGATGCATCTGTGTGCATGTGTGTGCGTGTGGTGCCGTTTATAGCAAATGCCTCATGTGAGTGCCGTGCTGACTAGCCGAAAGACACACCTGTTTTCCTCTCCGTGTGACGGATTGCATGGAAACCATTCATGGTCTCACTCCAGTTATTTCGGTTGATGAGGGACGCATTCATTCATTCAAATGTCAGCAGCATCGCATCGCATCGCAGGTACGCAGTGAGCTGAGTGTCCCTCCTCTCATATTCAGTGTCACTCATTCAGTGGGGTGGCGAAAAAACACATACACATACTCACTCACACACACAGACCAGGATCACACACACAGGATCAATGAGTCGATGGATGAATTGTGCACACACAGACAACACACAGATGATGGCCACGAACGCTCTCGCTACCCACGCCGACCGATCGATCGAAGACTACGCACCACCGCCAGCAGCAAAAAAGGCCCGAATAAAGCAGCAGACAACACACAGCACGCCACGCACCAAGGCACCCAAGGCCAGCCAGCAAGACCCCTGTTTCTCTCATTCTCTGTCAGCCAAGTTCACTAGTTTGCCGCCGTGCTGGGCGTCCCGTGTCCATGTGGCGGCATAACTCCCGGCTGCCTCTGCTCCAGAGGGAATGGGTTCGACCCCCCGGCTGCTCCCGCCACTGCTGCGACTGGCACCGCTGCTGGTGGTGGTGCTGCAGCTGGTGGTGGGTTGGGCCCCACATGGTTGGCCATCTGCATTCCGCCAGCACCGCTCATAGGAGTCCCGCCGGCCGCGCCGCTCTGCCATGGCTGCCCGCTCGGCTGGGGCGGCCTGACCTTTGGCTGGGGGGGCGCGTTGGCCTCTCTGCTGGGGTTGGCCTGCGGGGCTGGCGGTGCTGCCGTGGTGGTGGTTGACGCGAAGAAATCCGCGTTGAGAAAGTCGGGCGTCGTTGTCTGCTGCTGCTGTTGTGCGGGTGGTCGTGGTTGTGGTTGTGGCTGCGGCTGCGGCTGTGTGTGTGGTGGGAGGGGTCCGCCTTTGCGTGGCTGGTGGGGGTGGGGCGGCTGGACTGCCGTGCGGATGTCGAGCTTCATGAGGAAATCCACACCGCCCTGCCGGTGAATCTGACGACGGGAACAGAACACCAGCGGTTGGTTGTGAGAGCTGCTGTCGGAGTGTGTCACTTACGGCGTGTCTGAGTTTGCCGACGCCCTCGATTGCATTGCGCACGAACTCCTCAGACCGCCGCGCCTGACAGTCACACGTACGCAGGCACACACACGGGGAATGAGGTCATGCATTCGGTGTGTGTCTGCCTGCTTGCTCACCCTGTGAAGTCTGTTGATGGCCTCTGATCTGTCGAGGGAGAGGCCGTAATAAGACAGCAGCTCCTCGTCAGTACGCGGCAACGGACGGCCTGCACACATAAGGGATGGATGGATGGATAGGTGGATGGATGCAGGTCGATTTGGCGAGTTGGTAGTAGGAACGAACAACTCACCTGTGCCGCTTTTCTCGCATAGGAGGATGTCCTGCAGGCATTTCTCGAGCTCGCTCTCGCAGCTGAGGCTCCGCCGGCCCTCAGCAGCCAAGTGCTGACACACACATGACACACACACCACGACACGAGCAGGCAGCGTGTGTTGCGTGCATCTGTGTGGCCATGTTGTGGTGTAGGTACCTGTGACTTGTCTTTGATGTCCTTGACGAACTGCATGTAGAGCTTGGTGGTCAGCGGGGCTTGCAGCAGCATCTTGCACGCCCAAAACTGAATGCGAACCTGAGATATTCAATTTTTATCCACACACAAACACAATCCACCACACACATCCCTCACCCAATCTCTCTCTCTGACCTCATCATAGATGAGGTCCGAGGCGAGGCTGCTGGTCTTGCCGTGCCTCGTGTAGATGTCAGTGATGCCCAGCTTCTGCTTCCTCAGCGCCAGAGCCGTCTTGACCCGGTTCACCACCTCGTCCATCTGGTGCACATTGGGCGGCGGCGGCGCCGCCATCGGCGGAGGGGCGGCCGGCGCGCCGAAGCCGAAGCCGCCCCAGGCATTGGCACCGGCCGCCGGTGCAGGTGGTGCTGGAGGGGGCAGGGCTTCGTCAACTGGCATCGGTGCTTGTGGGTTGGGATTGGTGGGGCTTGTGGCCGCCCCGGCTGCTGCTGGTGCTGCCGGCGGTGGCGCTCCTGCCGCTGGGGGCGGCTGTGGTGGCTGCTGTGGGGCGGCTGGCGGGGGAGGCTGTGTGTAGAAGTGCTGTGGTGGCGGCGGTGGTGGCGGTGGCGGTGTGGGCGGGACGGTGCCTAGGAAGTCTCGCTCGAAGTGCTGGCATCCCTCGAAGAAGTCCTCGATCATCTCGAAGTGGATGGCGTGGGTCTGCTCGAAAATCAGGTCGCGCATCGTCTCGGCACAGTGGAACGCCTTATCCCTGACACACGCGCACACAGGGAGAGAGGGGGTGGGCGGGTGGGTGTAGTGTGCTGGTGAAGGACATGTCCATGCTCACTTGATGTAGTCTTCCATGGCTTGCTGCAGCTCCTCGATGAACTTGTTGCTCTTGATCAAAAACGCCAGACTCCCAGCCAGCTCACCCACCTCTACCAAACGCACCACCTGTCAGCACACACACACAAAACACAGACAGATGTGCGCGTCTCTCTCTCTCTCTCTCTCTGGGCAGGTGCCATCTCGTTCAGGCGCACCTCGTGCACCGAGGCCCTCAGGATGCGCCTCAGCGCCACAGCCGTTGCACACGCAGACAACCTCGCCAGGTGCAGCATCCCCCCCCGCACATTCGCCTGCAGCAAATCCGCCACCAACGGCTCCCTGACACACACACCAAACACACACAGACGTTCGCCATCACAATAAGCGGGCTTCCTCCCGCCCGCTGTCCCTCACTGACCAGTCGGCCTTGTCGACGACATGCCTGACACTTCGCATCATCTGCAGCAGCACGTGGTCGCTGAAGTGCCGGTCGGGCTCGAGGGTGCCCAGGTGGAACTTGAGCCATCTGCCGAGGTGTGTGAGGGACAGCTGGTTGAGGAGCTTGGTCTGCGCGAATTCGCCGGCGATGAGGTGCAGGGCGGGCGGGGCCTCTGCGGCGTTGCGCTCGATGGCCTCCTGCACCGTCCACTGTGGCTGGGGGTGGATCTGGTGTGGAACCGTCATGCCCTAAGTGGCCACACACACATCTCTGTGTCTGTGTGTTTGGTGTGTTTGGTGTGTGTTCTTCTCTCTCTCTCGCTCACGTCGATCTGTTGCTGCTGCTGTGCGGGAGGGGGTATGTCCACCCACAGGTCGTCAAGCCCGACTGTGTAGGAGCCGTCCCCCCCCTGCAGGCCCGTGGGCAGCGGCGAGCGGTAGATGGGCAGCACCACAGCAATCCCCGTGTCAAAAGGGTTGGGCGCGTTGGCCCCTGCCGCCTGTGGGTGGTGGACGCTCCGCACCGCCACCCCCTGCAAGGCCTCCCACCCGTCGGGGCGGAAGTACACCTGCCAGCAGTAGAGCCCCGCGTATGGCTGGATCTGGTGCTGCCCCAGCTGGTAGCCCTGGATGAGCTTCGACACCGGGTAAATCCGGTTCATCTCAACGGGCTTCTGCCGGATCTCGCGGGTCTCTGTCGTCTGGTGTGAGTGGCGCTCCGGGGCGTCCTGCTGCGACGTCTCTGTGGGTGAGAGGGCACCGTTCTGCGCGGCGGGGGATGGCGCGACGACTCGCTGGACGAAGGTCACCTGCACCACCTGCAGAGGGGCGTCCGGGGCGGGCAGCTCCACAACGGTGCCGAGCAGGAAGCCGCCCTTGATGGACACTCGCACCGGCTGACCCACTTGCAATGCAGGCATCTGACACACACACACATACAGAGGGAGAGGGAGAGGGTGTGATGAACGGCGACTCCTCTCTGTATGTCGTGTCGTGAGACCTACGTGAGGTGGTGGTGTGCGTGAAGTGGCGGGCTGGCTGGGGTATGGCACCGCGGCGTCATCGCGCCACTGCACCGACTGGCCGGCGTGGCCGGGGCTCGGAGGGTTGGACATCACACCACGCTGCGCCTAACACATGAACGTTGAGCGGCGTGACAAGCAAGGATGTGGTGTGTGGTGTGGTGTGGGTACCTGGAAGATGGTAGGGAGGGACCTGCCAGCGCCGTTCTCGCCCTGTGGAGCGGCCAGGCCCCTCTCTGGCACGGACCCTCGACGGCTGGTGCGGCCGGTGGGTTTGCCTCGGATGCGGGGGTTGTGCCCGGTGGGGGAGTTGGGAACCGGCTGCGGCCATCCATCCATCACACACACACACAGATGAGATGGCGATTGCGTGTGCCGCGCATCGCATCGATGTGGTTGTGGTCGTCACTCTCTGTGTCTCACTCACCATGACTTTGTCGAGGAAGGCGGGATCGTACTGCAAGTTGTCGGGGAAGATCTCGAGGGCGAGCTCGTGCCCCTCCTTGAGGTTGTCCTCCAGGTTGCCGCCCCACCGCTGCAGGAAACGGTCGCCCGACTCGGGCAGACGGAATATCGTGTAGTTGCCTGCACACACGCACACACACAGAGAGAGAGAGAGAGAGAGATGTGTTGATGCACCGGTGAGTGGATTGCCAAGGCAGTGTGTGTGTGGTGGGGAAGAAAGGTACCCGTGACGAGTTCGGTGACGATTTGCATGAGCTCCCTTAGGAAGAGCTTGATGTACTCGCGGCACGACTGAGGCGCACTCTCCGTCAGATAATCCTCAGCCTGATACCCACCCACACATCCATCACAACACATCTCCCATTTCGCTGTGGCAGCACGTACCTCAGTGATTTTCTTCTGCAGGTCGATCTTCTTCTTGAGCAGCCGCCGCTCGAGGTGCCCGAGCTGCTCGTTGAGCAGCCTCTGGAACTTGGTGTTGAGCTCCTGCTTGAAGAGGTCGATGTCGAAGTGCCGGAACAGCTCGGCACCGGTGGTGGGGTCAGAGGGCTCGAACGAGTGCTCCAGCAGCTCAGCCACGTCCAGACGCCCTGCACCCAGACAGACATAGAGAGTGTGTGTGTGTGGGTGCGTGTGGTGTAGCCAGACCCCATCCTCCCTCCCGACGGACCTTGCATGATCTGCTGCTGCATTCTGTTTTTGCGTTGGTCGAAGTTGAGGTTTTCCTTCTCCTCTATGGTAAGGGAGAAGAGCTCCAGCAGAAACAGAGGCAGCGCGTTGCCATTCGGATCAGTCACCGCACGCCTAAATCCATCCATCCATCCATCCATCCGTGTGTTCGTGTGTGTGTGTGTGTGTGTATCAGACGTACTTGTTGACATGGTCGAGCAGCTCGGCCTGCGTCTTGACGTCGTTCTTTTCGTTCCTGAGGAACTCCTTGGCCCGTGTGCCGACCACAATGGTCTGTTTGCCCTTGAGCCCCAGGCCGCGCGGCGGGTCCATCATGATGAAGTCCCGCAGCTGCCACGGCCAGTTGGCGGGATCGTCGTTGGCCTTCTTGACCAACACATACAGGTCGTTGGGGTTGTTACGGACGTAGCCGCGCACCACCGAACGCGTCAGGTCCGCACCTTCCTTCGAATCGTCCTTGATGCCCTGCACGGCACAACCACAACCACACACACACGCACACACACAGGTAGGTAGGAAACACGTCACGGGCATGGGTGTGTGTGGTTGCGTACAGGAAGGTCGACGAATACGGCGTGGACGCCGCCCGGAATGGCCATCTCCAGCTCGAGCTCCTCTCTCGATATGGTGGCGGTTTTGCTCATTTCCTCCTTCATGACGCCGTGCAGGTCGCCGAGCTCGATGTCCTTGCCCTGGAAGCGCGCCGTGATGTTGCTCGTCTCGGACGGCTTGAGCATGATGATCACTGGGTGGGTCGTGCCCGTCGTGGTCGACGAGTAGCCTATCGGCCCACCCATTATGTAATCCTGACCAATGCACGCACACACACACACACAAGCGCATCAGTGGTATTGCGCCCTGGCGGCACATGTCAGCCACTCCCCCACCAGCAGGGTGGTCTTGCCCATGGACTGCTGCCCGAAGACGACGAGTCGCGGCATCTCGGCCTCCAGGCCGCCAAGACGCAGCAGCTGAAAGCACTTCTGGTACAACACATTGGCGTCCTGAACCAACCACACGCACACACAGTCAGACATGAGCAAAGGCATCGGAAACAAGCGAGATATGGTATTCCTTGCTCCATCTTCTCTGCCAGCCACGCACACACACACACGCCCACCCGCACGCGCACCTGAAGTGACTGCATTTGTCCGACGATGGACTTTGCCGTTTCCAGCTTGTTGCTCTGCACATCCTCCAGACCCTCCACCTGCACAATCCGAACACACGAGCAAGCACACACACACACAGCAAACACAGCCCACAATCAGCCGCACCAGACAGACAGATACGCCCTCCGATTCGTTGCGCCCAGGGCATTGGTTGCGCTTAGCGTACCCGAAAAGCATGGGAGCTGAAGCGTCCCAGCGCTGCCGTCTCAACTGGTGCCTCCATCTTGCTTGCGGGCAGTCCCTTCTTTCGCAACAGCTCTCTTCTTTATGCGAGCTTCTTAGCTCGCAGATGCTGCTGAGCGCCGAACGCAGAGAGCAGAAAGCAGACGCGTGGTGGTGATGCCGCGACGAGAAGCAAACAATATGGTGTGCTTGAAAGTCAGAATGAATCATCGTGATGTTTTTGTGTGCGTGGTGGTCGCTGCTTCCTCGCTACAGATCTGAAGTTGCCTTGCGCATGCCCCTGGAATGGACGCGCCCTGCCATGCTGCATGAGTGGAGTGGGCTGCCGCTGCTGCTCGTCGCTCTCATCGTCCTGCTGTCAACCCTCAGCCTCCGCGCAATGCAGAACGAACGGGACCTGATCTACCAGTCTGCCTGGCTGCCCTTGCCGTCTAGGCCGAGAAGAACCATCCCCTTGCTATCATCGCGCCATCGCCGGCGAAGCGCGCCCCGCCGCTCTCTGCCTCTGGTGTGCCAGGCCAAGGGTGACGCCCCCGACTGGCACGAGCTGGAGGAGGCCGAGGACATGTACGAGGTCACTGGGGTGTTGCTCGAGTGGGCCGGCTATCGGCTGATGATGCGCGAGGAGCTGGACGCCGTGCTGGCGGTGCAGCGGCGGGCGGGCAAGCCGTTGCCGCGCAGCAATGCCCCCTGGTACTCGTTGAGTGTGGGCGAGCCCGACATGACGGCCTTCGGGACGTCCAAGTGCCTGGCGGGTCTGCGCCAGGAGATGCGGCTGATTGAGAACTTCTCGCCGCACTTCGACTCGTCGGCGCTCAACATGACGGACGGCGATGACGTGGAGCGTGTGGGGCGGTGTGGGGACGAGAGGGGGCCGCACTACCTGGGCATCACGGTGGCCAGCAGCTTGCCCAGCCTGTTTGAGTACTACACCGATGAGTTCCTGCGGATGCAGCCAAGGCTCTGGCCGGCGGTGGTGCGGGGCCGGTTTCCTGAGGCTGGCGAACCGATGCCAGACCCACCTCCAGAGACGCAAAGTGAGCGGCAATAAGGCACACACACACACATGTGTATCGGACACACTGTTTGCTTCTTTGTGTGCTTCTTGCGCGGCATGGACGCGTTCAGATGTGCCGCTGATCCCGTGTTTGGTAGTGTACGGGAACCTGAAGCGTGTGCAGGCGTGGGCGGCGAGCGCAGGGCGGCTGTATGGTCAGGAAGGGGAGGACCTCTACCGGGTGTGCGAGAAGGGGCAGGTGCTCGTCCTGGCGAGGCCAGAGTTCAGCGGCGAGAGGCTGGGCAGGAAGGGACGCCTGCAGCAGCAACGCTTCTTCAAGCTCTGGGACGCGCAGTACTGACTGGCCAGTGTAGCCAGCCTGTGTGTGTGCAGATCTGTGCCAGATCTTGTGCTTCACATGCATCCGCGAATCGGGCTGACACTTCAGCACGGTCGTCGTCTTTCTCAGACGGAAGGCGTCCGGGCAAACAAAACGGTCGATCACGGTCGAACCGAAAAAAGAAACACTCACCTTGCACCAGTGCTGTTGCTGACACCACCACCACTCACCCAGCGCGTTAAAACCTCGCGACTGCTCCGGCAGATGAGGAAGCTCATCAGCTCGCACGACGCCCGTCTAGGGTATGACATAAAACCGCTGCAGTCGGAGCCGGCTCTTCCCCAGACATAGGCAAAAGGTGCACGCACGAGTCCTTCCCAGCTTGTCAAGTGTTTGTCACAAGCGACAGCGGATCAACATCGAGTCAGAAGAAGGCATGAGGCTGGTCGGCGGCGACGGAGGGCCTGCAAGAAGACGAACACAGGGAGGAGGCAATTGATGCATGTTGCTGGAATGGTACGTATGTGGGTCCACCTCCATATGTCAGGGTGCGTGCCCGTCATTCTTGACCTCTTGTGGTGGTGACATCCGCCGGCAAGCGTCCAGCACGCACAACGTGGTCGATCACTCCAGCACACGTTGTTGGTGTCGGTTTGTACATGACAGGTTCTCATTCTGCAACAGTGTTCGTCCATGGCTGTCTGATGCTGTGGCTTTCAAGCTTTGTGGAGGGTGAGAGGAAGTACATCACAAAATACATCTGATCTTGATGCGACGTGGACATCTCGCATCGTGTTTGTCTATGTGGATCTGTGTCACGAGTTCCGCCTCTCCCTCCGACAAGGTGCGTACGAACAGGAAAGAAAAGCAGACAGATAGGAGGACGTTGACATGGAATGTGTGGATGTGTATCGACCGTCTGCCGCACACACAACCGACCTTTATGTGGGTGTTCCCCGCAAACCAGTGACCACCGCCTCCGCGCGTGTGCGCAGCCGACGTTTGTGTGCATTGTATGTGAGCACAAAGTGCTTGTCTTGCTCGTGCTCATGTGTATGTCGATGGATGTGTTGCGTGTCCGTCGATCGGTGCGTACGACTGACTGACTGACTGTCTGCCTGGATGGATGGATGGGTATGGGAGGAGAAGTGAGCCCTCACATGACATGAGTGATAGTGTCTGTAGCCATTAATGGTGCAGCGTGTCATTGGAGCAGTCGAAGTGCTGCAAGCTAAGACGTATTGACTGCGTGACGTATGACTGTGTGTCCCTGCCTGTGTGCATGTCTACATGATAAATCCATCCCATCATGTAGTTAGTGTGGGTATATCATTAGGTGGTTCAATCTGCATGTCTTTGTGTTTTTATTGTGTCTGATGCTGTGGCTTCGTGTGAGTTGGGAGAGGGCAAATCGTAAGATACACACACACACATACATCCTTCACACACATACTTCACACGCATACTCGGACTGACCGCGTGTCTCGCTCGTCTGCCTGTCTGCATGAGTGCGTGCATGTACTCCACACAGACCTTCCTTTGTATATATGGTGTAATCCCAGCGAGTTCCTCCCTGCACTTGACACGCCACAGAATTCACTGAGCTGCTCCTTTTTCATGCATTGCAGACCTGACCACATGAGATGAAGCGATGATACCTCTCGACGGCCAATGGAGCCACTCGTGCCAATCACCATCGTACTGCCACTGCAAGTACCACTGCCGCCTTCCCCGCCCGATTCGCGGCTCTAAGGGCACCCGCTTGCGGGGGCCCTTTACTTTGAATGCCTCAATGCAAAAGAGTCTCGATGTGTTGTCCCCCGGGTGCGAGCTCGAGGGTGCATCTGTAGTGAACAAAGCGCTGCGAACTGTCCACACCAAAAGGACAGAGGCGTGATATCAACCATCCAGACGTATCCACACGAGGATCTGTTCTGGGTGAGGCGTGACACCCGCTCGTCGCTGGCGGTGCGTTGGCGCGAACGACAACACCCATCCACCATGGCCTCCCTCCTTGAGAGTGCCAAGCTTGTCTTTGGTGCGTGCCCCTACGAGAAGCCAGCCTACAAGGTGCTGCTCAAAAAAGCTCAGTATGAAGTCCGACAGTACTCCAAGTAAGCGACGAAGCAGGGGAGGGAGGGAGGGAGATGGTGTTGGCCTCAGGCAGATCTCAGATCTCATTGTGTGTTGTGATTGTCTGTGTGCAGGTACATTGTCGTGACGTCCAAGTGGTCGGGCGATGAAGGGTCGGCAGGATCTAAGGGCTTCTTCCCCTTATTCAGGTCGGGTCGGCACCACCGCTCTATCAGTCAGGCATTTGGTTGCTCTTCCCTTGCTGACCGTGTGTGGTGTGCATGACCGTGTGTGGTGTGCAGGTACATATTGGGTGGCAAGAATGAGGGCAAACCGGCGGCAGAGGGCGGCCAGCAGCAGCAGGCAGAGAGCATCGCCATGACGGCGCCTGTCATCATGACGGAGAAGAAGAAGCAGGAGCCGCAGCCCGAGACGATTGCCATGACCGCTCCAGTGCTCATGACGGGCAGGCAGGAGACCCCCACGACCACCGAGACCAAGCCGGCGGCTACCGAAAAGACCATGTCATTTATCCTGCCGTCGAAATACCAGTCCATTTCGGAGCTCCCGAAGCCGACGGTGAGTGAGCCAGTGGATGGAAGGAAACACACGGCCGTCGTGGCAGTTGCAGTATGCGTGTGTGTGGCTTCGGTGTGTAGGAGTCTGGCCTGGAGTTTTCTGAAGTGGCGCCGCAGACGTACGCTGTGATGACGTTCAGCTGGCTGCTCACGCCCAAGGCTGTGTCGACACACGCTGCCGCGCTGAGAGGTACGGTACACACGTTGCCTGAGTAGAGAGGATGGATGGATGTGCCTTCGATTGCATCCAGAGCTGTGCGCGGCGGATGGTGTCGAGTTGGACCCCGATGAGAACAACATCATCACTGCCGGTGGGCGGCACCCACGCACAACCGCACACCGCACCACAGCCAGTCCAATCCAATGAGCATCTGTCTGTCTCTCTGCCTGTGTGTGTGGTGTGTGGTGTGGGTGTTTGGTGTGCAGGTTACAACCCGCCCTTCACGCTGCCCTTCCTGCGCAGGAATGAGGTGTGGATCAGGGTCACCAACACCGACGCACTGCCCAAACAAGAGGAGCACCAGGAGGGCAGCACACAGCAGGGGGAGCAGCCACCACAGCCGGCCAGCTGAGTCAGCTGTGTGGTCGGGGCGGGCGGGACTGTCTTTCCAATTAGGCGGTTATTCTCTCTCTGTGCGGTTGGTGTTTATCGAAAGAGCAAAAGGGGAGGCAGGCACACGTGTGCCGAGCGGGCTGCGTACCTGCCTGTGTAGATCTAGATTGGTTGACTGGCTGGTTGATGGGATGGGGGCTGGCGTAGGACATTGTTCGCGCAGGTGAGGTGCCTTTATTATTAAGAACACCTGCCTCTTCTCTTCATCCGAGCTCATCGACACACCCGAGCTGATTGACAGAGGCCCTCCCTCGTGTTTGTGCTTGTCCTGTGGATGTGGATGTGAGGTGGGTGAGAGACCATGAGTGAGTGAGCAGGCTAAGAGCACTGAATGAATGAGACATTAATTCACTTCACAGGCACACGCATCCAGGCACCGACCGTATGAACACATCAACGAACGAGTCAAGGGAGGGAGGGAGGCTGGTCCACTGGCAGACAGACAGGCAGACAGACAGACAGACAGACAAGAGAGGCAGACAGACAAGAGAGGGATGGAGGGGAAGAGGCAGACAGACAGGCAGGCAAGATGGCACTCAGGCACCTCACGCAAACACATAGCACAAGCAAACAAGCAAGCAGCAAGTCCAGTAATCCATTCGCCAGGCGCCCCCCTTTCTGTCCGTCGCTCCCGCCCTTCCGCCCTCCTTCGCTGACAAATGACTGGGTGAATGCATCAATGCCATGATCATCAATCAAACAGGGGAGACCTCCTGCACACACACGTGTGCTGCAGTGCATAGTAATACTGCAGTGTCTGGAGTGTCAGACTGCCACTCCTTCCTTGCTCCCCCCTGTGTGTGTGTCTGCCTGTCTGCCCGCCTGCCTGCCTGCCTGCCCGCCCGCCTGCCGACAGCCATATGAATGAATCAAGGAGAGACGAAGGGGCCGTTCGCTCAGCCAGCCAGCCGCCTTCGGGAAAAAACATGGGCAGAGGCAGGCAGGCAGACAGACAGACGGTGGGTGTCAGTCATATGCAGTGGGCGGGCCTTGTTGACGCGCCCACACGCAGCTCGCAGCACACGTCAGGGAAGGAATGGAATGGAGCACTCAATCACCCACGCACTTACGCAGCTACTAAAGGGAGCCAGCCAACCGGGGGAGTGAGAACAACAGCAGCATTAGAGAGAGAGGGAGACAAGGAGGGGGGAGACTACAGGCATCCATCCAAGCATCCATCCATCCAAGCGTCCGTCTTTCCAGCGACGTGACGTGCGTGTGCCAAACATTCTCTTGCAAGTAAGGAAGAGAGCAAAGGCAGGTAGCGAGGGAGAAATGGCCGCAGCTAGGGCCGCTAAGCTGAAGCCAGTGTGCCAGTCACCTGTCTCTCTGTCTCCGCCTGGGTCGGTCGCTTGTCCTCTGCCAGCTGCATGTCTGCATGCACTAGGACACCCACACACACCACCCTCCCTCACTCACACGAATGCATTCAAAACACACACACACACGAAAAGACGCGAAGCAAAAGAACGTATCCACACGCACACGAACACCACACAACTCCACACCACAGCCAGCACACGCACCCACCACCCGCCCACGTGCCATGCATCCCTGTCTGTCTGTCTGTACGCAGCCAGGCAGCCGTGCAGGGTCCATCCATCCATCCATCGGTGCGTCAACGTGCAGACACGAGCTGTGATGTGGCGGGCTCGCACGCACACTCCCGTCATGCCGTTGCTTGCTTGCTTGCTTGACTGCCTGACGGGTGGCTCATTCCTATACACCCACACATGCCATGCGCTGCATGGCATCGCGAGCCATCCATCCAGCCATGCCCCCATCGTCCCCTGAGTGAGCATTAGGAGGAAGGAGTCAGTACTTAGCTAGTTAGTAGTTAGGATCAGCCAAATCCACTCGATCGATCGACACGATCGTACGAGAAGAGGCGTCAGGCATTGTCATTTATCTACAGTTATGACCACTCATCCATCCATCCATCCAATCACCGCCGCGTCAGCATTGCATAGCATAGCGTACCTTGACAAAAGGACGACACCCACACACCCAGCCAGCCAGCCAGCCAGCCGCAAAGATACCGCCGTTGCTAGCTAGAATAATGGGTTACATCACCAACACGCCGCCATCATACACACATACGCACACCCTTTCTCCCTTTGCCCCTCCCTTGCCTGTCCGCCTGCTACTACCGAATGTACACAAAGAGTTGTGCGTGTGAGATGAGAGTGTGTGTGTGCGATGGCTGCATCGCATCGCATCGAAGGAAAGGATGGATGGGAATATGCATGGCATGCAGGAAAGAGCAGTCAGTCAGCAGGAAGGACTCCACCTATACACAGTCACCAGCCGCCCCAACCCCCACCCATCCATCCATCCATCTCATGAATGGCTGCCTCCCCGCCCTCCAAAAACGGAGGAATGCTATGCTATGCTCGTTTGCGCGCAGACGCCACGCCAATCCGACAGTACACAGACAGCCCAAGCCACAGACACGCACAGCACACGGAGATCCCTCTCTGTCTGTCATCTCTCTCTCTCTCTCGTCGCCCTCTATCTCGCGCCTGGTAGGTATTCCTTACCTTACTCAGCAGCACATACGCACACACACACACACAGAGAGAGACACCCGAAATAGATACCACGCCCGGCCCGGTATCACGCCCACACTCAGGTACGCCATTCGTCCATGCCGGCCGGCCAGCCACGGCCATATCGACTAAAGCAAGCAAGCAGGCAAGCAGGGAGAGGAGAGGGGAGGCGGAGAGGAGGCAAAGAGGGCAGGCTAGACAGGGGACACCGACTGACCCATCCGACACACAGCGCACACACCAACCGAGAGAGAGAGAGAGAGAGAGAGAGATGCATGGGCAGTAGAAGGCGGGCTGACAGAGAGAAGACGGACGCTCGTTGTTCAAAGAGACGGTGAGTCGCAAAAGAATGAAAAGCGGGCGGGGAGGGG